ACTAGCTTTGGCCCACTGACTCTAACAGGCTTCGACCTACTCACTCTCCTCAGGACGACACTAGCTTTGGCCCACTGACTCTAACAGGCTTCGACCTACTCACTCTCCTCAGGACGACACTAGCTTTGGCTCACTGACTCTAACAGGCTTCGGCCTACTCACTCTCCTCAGGACGACACTAGCTTTGGCCCACTGACTCTAACAGGCTTCGGCTCACTCTCCTCAGGACGACACTAGCTTTGGCCCACTGACTCTAACAGGCTTCGGCCTGCTCACTCTCCTCAGGACGACACTAGCTTTGGCCCACTGACTCCAACAGGCTTCGGCCTGCTCACTCTCCTCAGGACGACACTAGCTTTGGCCCACTGACTCTAACAGGCTTCGGCCTACTCACTCTCCTCAGGACGACACTAGCTTTGGCCCACTGACTCCAACAGGCTTCGGCCTGCTCACTCTCCTCAGGACGACACTAGCTTTGGCCCACTGACTCTAACAGGCTTCGGCCTACTCACTCTCTCAGGACGACACTAGCTTTGGCCCGCTGACTCTAAAAGGCTTCGGCCTGCTCACTCTCCTCAGGACGACACTAGCTTTGGCTCACTGACTCCAATAGGCTTCGGCCTACTCACTCTCCTCAGGACGACACTAGCTTTGGCCCGCTGACTCTAACAGGCTTCGGCCTGCTCATTCTCCCCAGGATAACACTAGCTTTGGCCCACTGACTGTAACAGGCTTCGGCCTGCTCACTCTCCTAAGGACAACACTAGCCCACTGACACAAACAGGCTTCGGCCTTCTTGAACTCCTCAGGACAACACTAGCCTTGACCACTGACTCTTAACATGCTTCAGCCTACTCACTCTCCTCAGGACAACACTACCTTTTACCTGCTGACATTATCAAGCTTCGGCCTACTCAATCTCCTCAGGACGACACTAGCTTTGGCCCGCTAACTCTTACAGGATTTGGCCTGCTGACTCTCCTCAGGACACTAGCTTTGCCCAACTAACTCTTTCTGCCTTCAGCCTACTAACTCTTTTCGTGTTTGAGTCACACTTTTGTTTTGTTATATTAATGTTTATTATTTCTGGCATTATAGTTCAAGCATCCAGAGGACCTCAGTTTGGGAACTGCTGCTTTAAGTTCTTCGAACCCTCTCCTGTTCCTGGGAAAATGCCTTGAAAGCAGCCTCTCCCCATGTCTTTCAGAGAGAGGTTTTGCTAGTTGGCTTCCAAAGAGTTAAAGCAAAACATGTGGATTCCTAGAGAGTAAGTGAGTGGCCAATCAGAAGCCTCCTGCAGGCCAGGCCCCTCCTCTTCTGGCCATGTGGAACTCTTCCTGGAGGAGGAGGAGGAGTGGCTGGGAGAGCCTTGGAGAGAGTGCCTTCCTTCCTTCCTTCCTTCCTTCCTTCCTTCCTTCCTTCCTTCCTTCCTTCCTTCCTTCCTTCCTTCCTTCCCAGAGGGGGCCATGGCTCTCCTGCTGCCCAGGTTGGAGCCTGGCTGCAAGGAGAGGCCGCAGGAGGGAAGCCAGCCCGGTGGTGCATCTTCAGGCCCAGCAGAGCCAAGCCAGGACCCTCCGCCTGCCTTTCCTGCTGCTGCTGCTGCTGCTGGGAATGGAGGGCAGTGGTGGGGAGGAGGAGGAGGAAGCCTTCTGGTGGGGAAGGAGGAGGGGGGGCTGCGAAGGGGAGAGCCCCCACCACCTTCAGGGGCAGAGCGCCAGAGCTTCAGGCAGTTCACCTACCAGGAGGCCTTGGGGCCCCGAGAGGCCTGCAGCCGCCTCCACTCTCTCTGCCGCCTGTGGCTGAAGCCCCAGCGACACTCCAAGGCGGAGATGCTGGACCTGGTCATCCTGGAGCAGTTCCTGGCCGTCCTTCCTGCCGAGATGGAGCGCTGGGTCAGGGAATGTGGGGCAGAGACCAGCTCCCAGGCCGTGGCCTTGGCCGAAGGCTTCCTCCTGAGTCGGGCCCAAGAGGAGAAGGAGAAGGGACAACAGGTGAGAGAGGGAAGCTCATCCCCACGCTTCCAAAGGGTGCCAGGAACACTAATAACAATAATAATAACACTAATAATAACAATAATAATAATAATCGGGCAGGGCATGGGCTTGTGCAACGCAATCTGTAGGGCTGACCCGAAAGCAAAGTGCTGGGGAATCAAAACCATAAGCTAGGGTTGGATAGTCCTAATCAGACGCTAATCCGTTATTCAAGGCACATACACCAGTTTCCAAGAAAAGTGGGCATGTTCAGATTTGATAGGGCGAAGGCTTGTGCAAACGCAAAAACTGGAGTGCTGGGCTGGAAGTGAAGTGCTAAGAAGTCGACCATAACTTAGGGATTGGGCACTCTTAGTTCATAACTTAGGGATTGGGCACTCTTATTCAAAGGCACATTGGAACATCCAAGTTTACAAGTCTTTCCTGAAAAGGTGGACAGAGTGGGGGCTCATCTGATCTCCCTGGGGAGAGAGTTCCAGAGCTTGCGGGGGGGGGGGGGGGGGACACAACCACTGAGAAGGCCCTTTCCCTCGTCCCCACCAACCATGCTTGGGACAGAGGTGGGAGCTAGAGAAGGGGCAGATCTTAGAGTCTGTGCAGGTTCATAGATAAGAAATACGACCACGGAAGATAAGCAGGACCCAAACTGTGGTTTCAAGACTCAAAAGGAGGCTTTGTGGGTAATAACCTGCACCTTGAGTTAGGACCGGAATCTTATCATGAAGGAAGCCAAACTCCAGTTCCTTCCCTCGCCTCTTTCACTCTTCAATCTTCTGATCATTTCTATCTGTGTCCCTTTGGTGTTTTTTTTTTTTGCAGGCGGTGGACTTGTGTGCAAAAGTGTCTTCCGCCTTGGAAAGGCCTCCCTCCACCTCCAGCCGGGTGCCGGATTGTGCAGGACAAAGGGAATCACCCAGCTCCACAAGTAAATACCAAGGGACACTTAGATCACTTTCCTCCACTCCGGGTTTTTGTGGCTCAATGAACATATATGTTTGAAAGGGATCTAGGAGCCTTTGGATACACAGGTTCTACTGAACATAGAATCTTAGAATCCTACAGTTGGAAGAGACCTCGTGAGACATCCAGTCTAACCCCATTCTGACAAAAAACAGCAAATACGCATTCAAAATACCCCCAACAGATGACCGTGCAGCCTTTGTTTAAAAGCCTCCAAAGAAGGAGCCCCCACCACGCTCTGGAACAGAGAGAGAGAGTTCCACTGCTGAACAGCTCTCACATTCAGGAAGTTTTTCCTCACATTGAGGTGGAATCTCCTTTCTTGTGGTTTGAAGCCATTTTTCCATTGCATCCTAGACTCCAGGGCAGCAGAAAACAAGCTTGCTCCTTCCTCCCTATGACTTCCCCTCACATATTTTTACATGGCCCTCATCATGTCTCCTTTCAGCCTTCTTTTCTGTAGTCTAAATATACCCAGCTCTTTTATCCACTCCTCATAGGGTTTGTTCTCGCCCTCCTCTGGACACATTCCAGCTTATAGATCTCCTTTCAATTGCGGTGCCCAGAATTGGAGAGTGGGTGATTCCAGGTGTGGTCTGACCCAGGCAGAATAGAGGGGGAGCAAGGTACCCTTTTCTATGTATGACTGTGAAACCTGCACAGTGAAGAAAGCTGGTTTGAAATGTGCTTGGGGGGGTGGGGGGTGGATGCCATTGACTCAAGAGGCAAATATGTGGATAATAGAGAAATTAAGCCTAGAAGCCAAGATGTCTGAACTAACATAATTGCAGTGTGACCATATCACGATTACACAGGGCTCACTAGAGAAGACAATAAGTCTTGCCTTCCACGATTTAATCATAGAATCATGAAATAATATAATCCTAGAGTTGGAAGAGCCCACAAGGGCCATCCAGTCCCAGCTCCCTGCCATGCAGGAATACACTTTCAAAGCACTCCTAATGGATGGCCAACCAACCTCTGTTTAAAAACCTCCAGAGAAAGAGACTCCACCGCACTCTCAGGTCGCAGCATACTTCATTGTTGAACTGCTCTTACCATTAGGAAGATGGTACCACCAGAAATGGAGGCCATGGCCAATAAAATACCCTTGACATTTCTCTTCCTACAGGAGGTGAATTAGAACCAACACATACTGGCTTACCTCTTCCTTCTGAAGTACGCAGCACACCTTCTGTGACACCAGATCAGGTATATGAGAGAATCTCTGATGGGCCAAGGAGGGCTCAGGCTTCCACCACCCTCTTGGCATTGCTATTTCCCCCTCTTTCCACCCAAGATGCCTGCAGCAAAGTCACTGTGTAAAGATGGACATCTAACTTGACCACCAAAAGCAACGAGTTTTCTGTCTGGGGTCAGCGTGTCCTGCTTACCAATCATGTTTTTCTATCTAGGTGACCTTCCAAGAGGTGGCCGTGTCTTTCAGTGAGGAGGAGTGGGCTCTGCTGAATCCGGACCAAAGGGCCTTGCATCAAGAAGTCATGAAGGAAAATTTGGAGACAGTGTCCTCTTTAAGTAAGGCTCCCTCTTGTATAAGAAAGTATTAGTCACAACATGATATAGCCGTATAATGTAATTTAAAAGGGGGAGAAACGCAAAGAATCCCCAGGTTTTGCATAGGTTCACAACAGAATAAAATAACATTAAGTTTACCATTCAATTATAACACTTATCAGTAACTATAACATGTGCCTTTTATATTCATATCCATGGTTTCACCCACCTGAGCCTTGGGGAAAGTGGTATCTACATGATTTAATGGTCTTCTACCCCTGGAAGTCAGCATTTAGTTTTGCTAAAGAGGGTACATCCAGGTCCAATTGTTGGAGGTTACAGAAAAGTAGATTTTCAGATAACTGAAAGAAATTCTTGAAGTGAGAGAAGTCCAGCAAAGGGATTGATTCCCTAAATTGCTGGTGAGCACTTTAATTATTAAGCTCAACAGGAACTCATTCATAGAGCACTTTAACTATACCTATTAAGATTTTGTTTTTTTAAATATGTGTTCTCATTTTTGTTGTCAAGCAACTCACAGAGAAGGGGAATCAGCTCAATACCGGGACTGTGGAGAGAATCAGGAGCTGTGTATCTCTCGTCACCAAGCAACGTCCACTAAGAGGAGGTCCTTCAAGTGCTTGGAGTGTGGAAAATGTTTCCGTCACAAGCAAAGCATGGCTTATCATCAAGCAACACACACTGGAGATAAAAAGTTCAAATGCATGAAGTGTGGAAAGAGTTTCATTCAGAAGATAAAGCTCACCTATCACCAAGCTACTCATACTGGAGAGAAGCCATTTAAATGCTTGGACTGTGGAAAGCGTTTCACTCAGAAGACAAGCCTCACCTATCATCAAGCTTCTCATACTGGGAAGAAGCCATTTAAATGCTTGGAATGTGGAAACAGTTTCACTCTTAGGAGTATCCTGACCCGTCATCAAGCTATCCATACTGGGGAAAAGCCATTGAAATGCTTGGAGTGTGGAAAGAGTTTCACTCATAAGATAAGCCTCACCTGTCATCAAGCTACTCATACTTGGGAGAATCAATTTAAATGCTTGGAGTCTATTGAGAGTTTCACTCAGAAGATACACCTGACTAAACATCAAGATATTCATACTGGGGAGAAGCCATTTAAATGTGTGGAGTGTGGGAAGAGTTTCACGCGAAAGATAGGCCTCACCAATCATCAAGCTACTCATACTGGGGAAAAGCCATTTAAATGCTTGGAGTGTGGGAAAAGTTTCATTCGGAAGACAAGCCTTAGCTCTCATCAAGCTACTCATACTGGGAAGAAGCCATTTAAATGCTTGGAGTGTGGAAAGAGTTTCATTCAGAAAACAAGTCTCGCCTATCATCAAGCTACCCATAGTGGGGAAAAGCCATTTAAATGCTTGGAGTGTGGGAAGAGTTTCATTCTGAAGACAAGCCTTAGCTCTCATCAAGCTACTCATACTGGAGAGAAGCCATTTAAATGTTTGGAGTGTGGGAAGAGTTTCACACGGAAGATAGGTCTCACCAATCATCAAGCTACTCATACTGGGGAACAGCCATTTAAATGCTTGGAGTGTGGAAAGGGCTTCATTCAGAAAAGATATCTGACTTGCCATCAATCAGTTCATACTGGGGAGAAGTCATTTAAATGCTTGGATTGTGGGAAGGGCTTTGCTCGGAAGGCAGAACTCACACAACATCAAGGAATCCACACTGGGGGAAAACCCTTTAAATGCTTGGAGTGTGAAAGCTCTTTTACAGAAAAAAGATGCCTCATTGCTCATCAAGCAACACACTCTGGGGAGAAGCCATTTAAATGCTTGGATTGTGGGAAGGGCTTCGCTCAGAAGGCAGAACTCACACAACATCAAGGAATCCACATTGGGGGAAAACCCTTTCAGTGCTTGGAGTGTAGAAGAAGTTTCAAACTGAAGAGTAGCCTACGGCGTCATCAAGTGAAACACATGGGGGAGAGAACCCTTTAAATTCCTGTAATGTGGAAAGAGCTTATACCAGTGGAGACACCTCCCTCCTTTTCCCTCATCCAAACCATGAGGAGACTGAACTTCTGCAATAGAGAGGGATGACTTTAAAATAGTTTTTCTTTGTTGTTGTTTCTTCATTCATTGCAGTAATTTTAAAAATATTTCTTTCTGAACAAACCGGCTTCTTTTGATGAAGTGTATGTGTGTGTGTGTAGTGAGAGAGAGAGATGCCGAAAATAAGACAGAAGACCAGAAGCTTCTGATTTGCTGAACTGCTACAGCTGTTGCTGCTGATTTAATGTATTGTCAAAGGCTTTCATAGCTGGAATCACTGGGTTGTTGTGTGTTTTCCAGGCTGTATGGCCATTTTCCAGAAGCATTCTCTCCTGATGTTTCACCTGCATCTATGGCAGGCATCCTCGGAGGATGTGAGGTCTGTTGGAAACTAGGAAAATGGGGTTTGATCTACCTCCAACAGACAAGAGTTCTTTCTCCCACCTTGGAAATTCCTCAGATATATAACCCCAATTTTCCTAGTTTCCAACAGAACTCACAACCTCTGAGGATGCCTGCCATAGATGCAGCGAAAACGTCAGGAGAATGCTTCTGGAACATGGCCAGACAGCCTGGAAAAAACACAAAAACCTGTTGCTGTTGATTTACCTTTTTAAAATGCTTTCTCCTTTTGGAAAAAAATTCCCCAATATTATTAAGTGGATTAAATATATATCTAAAACAAAATCTCACTTTTCAATTGCTTTCAGTCCCTGCCCAAGCTCCTGTTTGACTTCCAGAACCTTCTCTCTTTCTCTCCATGTGCAGCCACGATACAAGTGATGTGCTCCTTTTGAATCCTTTGATGATTGTTGAGCCACTCATCTTATGAATTCTCCCATTCTGAAATAGTAAAATAATCCAAAACAATCAGCCAGTAGGGTTGACTTCACCTTAAGCAGTGAGTAATTCAAGTCATGCTAGGAGAAAAGCACGACTGGTGGGAACGAGAGAAAGGGCCTTCTCCGTGACTGCCCCCCACCTCTTGAATTCCCTTCCTAAGGAATTAAAGATGGCCCCCTTCCTCCCCACTTTCAAAAAACAGCTGAAGACATACCTTTGCTCACAGGCTTATGAGGAGGAAGAGGAGGAGTAGTTGGTAATATCACCATTATAGGTAAAGGTAGTCCCCTGACATTAAGTCTAGTCATGTCCAACTCTGGGGGTTGGTGTTCATCTCCATTTCTAAGCCGAAGAGCCAGCGTTGTCCGTAGACACCTCCAAGGTCATGTGGCCGGCATGACTGCATGGAGCGCTGGAGCGGTACCTATTGATCTACTCACATTTGCATGTTTTCGAACTGCTAGGTTGGCAGAAGCTAGGGCTGACAGCGGAAGCTCACGCCGCTCCCCGGAATTCGAACCTGCGACCTTTCAGTCAACAAGCTCAGCAGCTCAGCGCTTTAACCCACTGCACCACCGAGGGCTATTATACCTCTGTATTATTATTATTATTATTATTATTTACTGTATTTATTATTTACTGTATTTTATTTATTTATTTTTTTATTTATTTACTGTATTTATATCCGTGCCCTGCTCACCCCACCACCTCAATAGATATCTTGAGCAATGATTAATGTAATGAGAAATTGTTGTTTCCATTTGATGTTTGATGTTTTGTCTTATGTCTGTCATAATAGGCTGTGCTTTTTATTTAATTTTAGTTTGTTAAGTTATAATTCATAGTTATATGTTGGGTTGTATAAATTGTATTATGGGTGTATTGTTGTTCTATTTGGGCATTGAATGTTTGCCTTTTATGTTTGGAATCCGCCCTGAGTCCCTCTGGGGAGATAGAGCGGAATATAAATATATTATTATTATTATTATTATTATTATTATTATTATTATTTTTTGTTGTAGGTTTTTTCGGGCTATATGGCCATGTTCTAGAGGCATTTTCTCCTGACGTTTTGCCTGCATCTATGGCAAGCATCCTCAGAGGTAGTGAGGTCTGTTGGAACTAGGAAAAAGGGTTATATATCTGTGGAATGACCAGGGTGGGACAAAGGACTCTTGTCTGCTGGAGCTAGGTGTGAATGTTTCAACTGACCACCTTGATTAGCATATAATGGCCTGACAGTGCCTAGAGCAAACGTTTGTTGAGAGGTGATTAGATGTCCTTGTTTGTTTCCTCTCTGTTGTTGTGCTGTTGTAATTTTAGAGTTTTTTTTTTTAATATTTTACTGGTAGCCATACAGTATGGCTACCAGTATTAAAAGAGAACACAGAAATGCTGGACCACTCTCACAACCACCATGTCAGACTACACAGAGAACCCATTGAAATACACAAGCATGTGGACAATTTCAACAGAAAGGAGGAAACCATGAAAATGAACAAAATCTGGCTACCAGTATTAAAAAACTCTAAAATTACAACAGCACAACAACAGAGAGGAAACAAACAAGGACATCTAATCACCTCTCAACAAAAGTTTGCTCAGGCACTGTCAGGCCATTATATGCTAATCAAGGTGGTCAGTTGAAACATTCACACCTAGCTCCAGCAGACAAGAGTCCTTTGTCTCACCCTGGTCATTCCACAGATATATAAACCCTTTTTCCTACTTCCAACAGACCTCACTACCTCTGAGGATGCTTGCCATAGATGCAGGCGAAACGTCAGGAGAGAATGCCTCTAGACCATGGCCATACAGCCCGAAAAAACCTACAACAACCCAGTGATTCCGGCCATGAAAGCCTTCGACAATACATTATTATTATTATTATTATTATTATTATTATTATTATTATTAATGTGTTAATGACGAGTGATGGATGTATTCTTACCCAAATCTGGATGATACTAGCATTATTCACCATATGACTTGTTGAAATTTGGAGGGGGAGTAGGTTTGTCATTTAGGCTAATGTGTTCATTGGGTGGAAGTTATCATTGTTCTGCTTCAAAGTAAATGCACACTGGGTTGTTGTAGGTTTTTTCAGGCTATATGGCCAATCATCAAAGGATTCAAGTATTGTTTGTGTTGTAGGTACCTCACTACCTCTGAGGATGCTTGCCATAGATGCAGGCGAAACGTCAGGAGAGAATGCCTCTAGAACATGGCCATATAACCCGAAAAAACCTACAACAACCCAGTGATTCCGGCCATGAAAGCCTTTGACAATAAATTAAATGCACACTGCTATGGATGAGTTTATCTGTGTATTTACGTTTCCCAGTAACATTGCTGTATAAACTGTTAAGTTTTATGGCACCTCCATGAGGCTCTCTTCTTCAGGCCATCATTCTTCAGGTGTAAAGAGCGATGACATTTCCCTCCCTCCCCGGCTCACTTCCCCAAAAGGAAAGGAATGGACACAATTCCAGCCATATGACATCTTTATTGTGAAGTAATGTAGTTACCACTCTTTACACCTGAAGAAGGACTGCCTGAAGACGAGAGCCTCATGGAAGTAGATTTCTTTTGATCAGGAGAGACCCCTCACAACTATCAATGGCTGAAGCCCTTACACGGTTTTGTGGGAAGATCAATAGAAACCCACCAGGAAAATTCAACAAATTTCACGTTCAGCAAAGGATACGTTTGTTGTTTATTCATTCAGTGAACTTCCTTGGAGACTAGGACACAGAACAATGGCTTCAAACTACAAGAGAGGAGATTCCATCTGAACATGAGGAAGAACTTCCTGACTGTGAGAGCCGTTCAGCAGTGGAACTCTCTGCCCCAGAGTGTGGTGGAGACTCCTTCTTTGGAGGCTTTGAAACAGAGGCTGGATGGCCATCTGTCGGGGGTGATTTAAATGCAATTTTCCTGCTTCTTGGCAGAAAGGGGTTGGACTGGATGGCCCATGAGGTATTCTATGACCTCATGGACCAGCCCATGCCAGAGCTCCCTGTCAGCCATGGCCACCCCCAGCCAGTCACTTCAAGGATACCATCCATCCCTCTTGACCTTGGTCGGCCTCTCTTCCTTTTTCCTTCCATTTTCCCCAGCATCATTGTCTTCTCATGATGTGACCAAAGTACTTCATTTTTGCCTCGAATATCCATCCCTCCTAGCCTACAGCATCTGGGATTAATTAGTATCTCCCATCCAAGCACTACCAGAGCTACTCCTTCTGCGCTTCCAAGGACAGAAAGTGTCCTGGTGCCTTTAAGAAAGTGTCCCAATCTCTAGACTTCCAGATGTTTTGGACTTCATCTCCCAGAAGCCTCATCTCCCTTGGCCAAGGATTGTGTATTGTGGAGATTAAAGTCCAAATATCCAGAGGACCTCAATTTGAGAACTGTTGCTTTAAGTCAGTGTTTCTCAACCTGGGGGTCGGGACCACTGAGGAGGTCACGAGGGGGTGTCAGAGGGGTCACCAAAGACCATCAAAAAACACAATATTTTCTGTTGGTCATGAGGGTTCAATGTGGGAAGTTTGGCTGAATTTTATCGTTGACGGGATTCAGAATGCTCTTTCATTGTAAGTGAACTATAATTCCTAGCAACTCGCAAATAAATAATAAATAATAAAAAATGTCAAGGTCTATTTTCCCCAAACTCCACCAAGGTTCACATTTGGGCATATTGAGTATCCGTGCCAAGTTTGATCCAGATCAATCATTTTGTGAGTCCACAGTGCTCTCTGGATGCAGATGAACTACAACTCCAAAACTCAAGGTCAATGCCTACCAAACACTTCCAGTATTTTCTCTTGGTCATGGGAGTTCTGTGCGCCAAGTTTGGTTCAATTCCATTGTTGGTGGGGTTCAGAATGCTCTTTGATTGTAGGTGAACTATAAATCCCAGTAACTACAACTCCCAAACGACAAAATCAATTCTCCCTCCAACCCCACCAGTATTGAAATTTGGCATATTGGGGAAGAGTAGGTAAAAGTTTTCCCCTGACATTAAGTCTAGTTGTGTCGAAGTCTGGGGGTTGGTGCTCACTTTCTAGGCCGAAGAGATGGTGTTGTCCATAGACACCTCCAAGGCCGACATGACTGCATGGAGCTTTGTTATTGGGTATTTGTTCCAAATTTGGTCTAGTGAATGAAAATTCATCTTGCATTTCAGATATTTTCATTATGATTCATAACAGTAACACAATTACCATTAGGAAGTAGCAACGATAATTATTTTATGGTTGGGGTCACCACAACATGAGATGCTGTATTAAGGGGTCGCAGCATTAGGAAGGTTGAGAAACACTGCTTTCAGTTTTTCGAACCCTCTCCTGTTAATGGTAAAATGCCTTGAAAGCAGCCTCTCCCCATGTCTTCCAGAGGGAGGTTTTGCTAGTTGACTTCCAAAGAGTTAAAGCAAAACATGTGGATTCCTAGAGAGTAAGTGAGTGGCCAATCAGAATCCTCCTGCAGGCCAGGCCCCTCCTCTTCTGGCCATGTGGAACTCTTCCTGGAGGAGGAGGAGGAGTGGCTGGGAGAGCCTTGGAGAGAGTGCCTTCCTTCTTTCCTTCCATCCTTCCTTCCTTCCTTCCTTCCTTCCTTCCTTCCTTTCTTCCTTCCTTCCTTCCTTCCTTCCTTCCCAGAGGGGGCCATGGCTCTCCTGCTGCCCAGGTTGGAGCCTGGCTGCCAGGAGAGGCCGCAGGAGGGAAGCCAGCCCGGTGGTGCATCTTCAGGCCCAGCAGAGCCAAGCCAGGACCCTCCGCCTGCCTTTCCTGCTGCTGCTGCTGCTGCTGGGAATGGGGGGCAGTGGTGGGGAGGAGGAGGAGGAAGCCTTCTGGTGGGGAAGGAGGAGGGGGGGCTGCTAAGGGGAGAGCCCCCACCACCTTCAGGGGCAGAGCGCCAGAGCTTCAGGCAGTTCACCTACCAGGAGGCCTTGGGGCCCCGAGAGGCCTGCAGCCGCCTCCACTCTCTCTGCCGCCTGTGGCTGAAGCCCCAGCGACACTCCAAGGCGGAGATGCTGGACCTGGTCATCCTGGAGCAGTTCCTGGCCGTCCTTCCTGCCGAGATGGAGCGCTGGGTCAGGGAATGTGGGGCAGAGACCAGCTCCCAGGCCGTGGCCTTGGCTGAAGGCTTCCTCCTGAGTCGGGCCCAAGAGGAGAAGGAGGAGGAGACACTGGTGAGAAAGAGAAGAACTTATTCCCACGCTTGCAAGGAGCCAGGAATGCTTATCATGAAGGGAGCCAAACTCCAGATCCCTCCCTCCCCTCTTTCCCTTATTTTTCTGATCATTTGTTTATGTATGTGTCTCTTTGGTGTTTTTTTCAGGCAGCGGACTTGTGTGCAGAAGTGTCTTCCGCCTTGGAAAGGCCTCCCTCCACCTCCAGCCGGATGCCGGATTGTGCAGGACAAAGGGACCCTCCCAGCTCCACAAGTAAAGACCCAGCGACACTTGGGTGGCTCGACTCCACTCCTTTGGGGTTTTTTTGGCTCAATGAACATATATATCATCATCATCATCATTATCATCACTTTATTTCTCACATTTTTATACTTGGTTATCATATCTCCTCTCACCCTTTTCTTCTCAGGCTAAACATGCCCAGCTCTTTAACCGCTCCTCATAGGGCTTGTTCTCCAGACCCTTGATCATTTTAGTCACCCTCATCTGGACACATTCCAGCTTGTCAATATCTCTCTTCAATTGTGGTGCCCAGAATTGGACACAATATTCCAGGTGTGGTCTAACCAAGGCAGAATAGAGCGGTAGCATGACTTCCCTAGATCTAGACACTATGCTCCTATTGATGCAGGCCAAACCCCATTGGGTTTTAATGTGGCCATATTACTATGAAAACTTACTATAAAAGACAATAAGTCTTAGTAAGAGAGAAGGCAGCAGGAAAAGAGAGAGATTGAATTGCAGGGGGATGGACTCCATCAAGGGAGACATGGCTGTCTTGAATCTCCAAGACCTGAGCAGACCTGGCTTGGAGGTCCCTCATTCATAGATTCTGTCAAAGTGGCCTGAAGGCACTTACCAACAACAACAACAACACCTCTTCATCCACAGCCTTGCTCAGGTCTTGCCTTTCATGATTGAATATAGTATTATAAAATAATACAATCCTAGAGTTGGAAGAGCCCACAAGGGCCATCCAGTCCCAACTCCCTGCCATGCAGGAATACACATTCAAAGCAGTCCTTATGGATGGCCATCAAGCCTCTGTTTAAAAACCTCCAGAGAAAGAGACTCCACCACACTCTTAGTTCACAGCATACTCCATTGTTGAACAGCTCTTACCATTAGGAAGATTGTATCACCAGGATTTGAGGCCATGGCCAATAAAAACACCCTTGCCTTTTCTCTTCCTACAGGAGGTGAATCAGAACCAAAACATACTGGCTTACCTTTACCTTTTGATGTATGCAGCCCACCAGATCAGGTAGGTGAGAGAATCCCTGAGGGGCCAAGAAGGGCTCAGGCTTCTGGCGTCCTCTTTGCATTCCCATTTTCCCTCTTTCCACCCAAGATGCCTGCAGCAAAATCCCTGTGTAAAGATTGACATTTAACTCAGCCACCAGAAGCAACTGGTTTCTGCTTACCAATCATGTTTCTCTGTCCAGGTGACCTTCCAAGATGTGGCGGTATCTTTCAGTCAGGAGGAGTGGGCCCTGCTGGATCCAGACCAAAGGGCCTTGCATCGGGAGGTCATGGAGGAAAATATGGAGATGGTGTCTTCTTTAAGTAAGGCTTCATCTCGTATAAGAAAGTATATTCATGTCCGTGGTTTCACCCACCTGAGCCTTGGGGAAAGTGGTCTCTTCTACATGATTTTATGGCATGCTACCCTTGGAAGTTAGCATTTCGTCATACTAAAGAGGATACACCCATGATTATACCTATTAATGATTTTTTAATATGTGTTCTCATTTTTTGTTGTTGTCAAGCAACTCACAGAGAAGTGGAATCATTTCAATGCCAGAGCTGTGGAAAGAAGCAGGAGCTGTGTCTCTCCTGTCAGCAAGCAACGTACACTAAGGACTTCATCACATCAAGGCAAGGAAACGTTTGGCTGAGAAGAACTCCCCTTTTCAATGAAACAGATGATTTCCCTACCTTCATCACACTGTTTAATGTATCCATGCAACTTAGTCGTACTCTGTATTTTTATTATCATACTCCAGAGCAGTGTTTCTCAACCTGGGGTCAGGACCTATTGTTCCCTTGTGCCGTGGTCTCTAGAGCAGCAAAAAGTCACCCCCCTCCCTCAATGGGACACCCCTTAAATCTTGAGAAATAGTTCCCATGTTCCCTCTCTACCTTCTCTTCTCCAGGCTAAATATACATCCCTCAGGAGGAAGGGAGGAATGAAAAAGAGAAGGGAGGAAGAAAAGGATGGAAGGGGAGGGAGGGAGGGAGAAGGGAAGGAGGGAGGGAGGAAAGGAAGGAGAGAAGAAAGAGAAAAAGAAAGGAAGAGAGGAAGGGGAAATAGAGAGGGAGGGAGGAAGAGAAGAGAGGGAAGGAGAGGAAAGAGAAGGAAGACAAAAGGGAAGGAAGGAGAAAGATGAAGGGAGGAAGAGGAAAAAAGGGGAGGAAGAGAAACATGGAAGGGAGGGAGGGAGGAGGGAAAGAGAGGGAATGAAAGAGAAAAGGGAAGGAAGGAGATATACAGGGAGGGAGGGAGGAAGAAAGGAAGGACAAAAGGAAGGGAGGAAGAGAAGGAGGAAAGAGGGAAGGGAGGACAAAAGGGTGGAAGGGAGGGGGAGGGAGGAAGAAAAAGGGAAGTAAGGGAGAGAAGGAGGAAGGAAAGAGAGAAGGAAGGAAGGACAGGATGGAGAGAGATAGGAGGGCCTGAGAAAAGAGCCCAAGGGGCTGCATCCGGCCCCTGGGCCTGGGATTGCCCACACCTGATATAGAGGCAGGAAGGACAAAAAGGTGGGAGGGATGGGAGAAAGGAAGGAGAGGGAATGGAAGGAAGAGGAAGGAAAGAGAAGGGGAAGGGAAGGAAGAAGAGAGGGAAGGAGGGAGAAAAGAGGGAAGGAAGTATGAAAGGGGAAGGGAAGAGAAGGAGGGAGGGAGGGAGGGAGGGGGAGGGAGAAAGAGGTAGTGAAGGACAGAAGAGAGGGAAGGATGGAGGAAGGAAAGAGAAAAGGAAGGATAGGATGGAAAGAGAGTGGAGGGCCTGAGAAATGAGCCCACGGGGCCGCATCCCGCCCCAGGCTTGGGTTTACCCTTACCTGTGTTAGAGGGTGTCACATGCTTGTGTCACATGCTTTTGTCGCATTTCTTAAATACACAAAATGTCTGCTAGCTCTGGGAAATATTGAGGAGCACATTCATACTAAAACGAAACCCTGCTTCTCCCCAGTGTCCTGACATATGATTGGTTTCCACACCTTTTCACCTTCAGGAGACTTACACACCTACCACTCTGGAAGCCAGATCACGGTGTGTCCAATCCTCTGTTCTCTTTTCCTCCTTTTTCTTTATTTGATCTACAGGCGCTCAGACACCTCCCTCTGTAGCCATAGGGCTCCACTTCCTCACCTTCATTTGGTCACACTTGCAGTCTCTCTTCTACTACAAATGGAGATAGAAAGACTGCAAAGAAGGAATCGCTACCTGCTGCAAGTGCTGCTCTTCCTGAAAAGGATGCTTGAGAGGCCAGGCAAGAGTTTCGACCCTGTGGCCTCCCAATCGCCTGTTCTTTCCTGGTATGGTACGACTCCGGAGCCCAGGAGGTGGTGGGTGAGACCGCGCACCCGCCGTCGTTGGTGGAAGGAAGAGGTTTTGTCCCTTTGGGATGAGGAGATGTGGGTGTCCAACTTCAGGATGTCCAGGGAAACCCTTTTTGAGCTTTCCAACTGCCTTCGACCGCATCTGGAGCGTCAGGTCACAACCCTGAGGCAACCCATCAGCGTGGAGGAAAGGGTCGCAATCGCGATATGGTGGCTTTCGTCACCTTTGCTCTACAGAAAGGTTGCCTCCCGTTTCGGGGTTGGAGAATCGACTGTCGCAGTTCTCGGAATAGAGGTCTGCCTTGCCATAGAAAAAGCACTTCTTGGAAAAACGGTCCAGCTCGGGGACTACAAGCAGGTATGTGATCCTTCCCTTTACTGATGTGTCCTCTTGCCTCGCTAAAGAGAGTACTGAATAACAATACTTAATGTATTGTCGAAGAGTTTCATGGCTGGAATCACTGGGTTGTTGTAGGTTTTGCGGGCTGTCTGGTCATGTTCTAGCAGCATTCTCTCCTGGGTTTTGCCTGGATCTATGGCAGGCATCCTCAGAGTTTGTGAGGTCTCTTGGAAACTAGGAAAATGGGGTTTATATATCTGTGGAATAATGTCCAGCGTGGGAGAAAGAACTCTCTCTGTTGGAGCTAGGTGTGAATGTTTCAATTGGCCATTTCCAACTTTGGCGCCTGGAGGTTATGCTCAATTCTGGCCACAGAGGGGTGCTGTTGCTTCTTTCACTACGATGCTGAATCATTTTGATTGTATTTCCCCCTTGTTCTTTGATCACCGGCGTTTTTCTGGTGTTGTAAAATACCTCCCTTCTTTAAAAGTCCCTAATTTCTCTACTCACAGCTCAGCTGTTTTCAAACTGCCTAAATGAACAGTAAGCTAGGCTTAACAGTCAGGTGCTCAATTCAACTCAGGCTTCGAGTCGTAGGTGCAGGTTATGACCTATAAAGCCCTAAACGGTTCAGGCCCCGCCTTTCTTCACGATCGCATCTCCCTCTATGAACCAGTACGAACTTTAAGATCTTCTGTGGAGGCCCTCCTTTCGCTCCCATTACCATCACAAGCACGGTTGGTGGGGACGAGAGAGAGGACCATCTCGGTGGTGGCCCCCCACCTCTGGAACGCCCTTCTTGGAGAAATAAGACAGGCCCCATCCCTCCCCTCCTTTCATAAGAGCCTGAAGACCTGGTAGTTTAAACAAACCTTTGAGAGCGACTAGTTCTAGCTCTGCCCCATATGCTGTTGAAATTGGCCATATCTTTTTCTACCAACTACCCAGGTCCCTTTCTTCTATTAGGCCCTTGAAATGTACAGCCATAGACTCTACCTAATTTCCCGGGCCCTCTAAAATTGCACTAGCCTGGCCCGGCCTTTTAAATTGTCTTGAACAAGCAGGATTATTTTAAATATATGTGCTATAATGGTTTTTAATGCTTATATTGTCTTTTTAATTTTATGTTTATGCTGTTTTCTTTGTATGTGTTTTGTCTTCCAGGAGCATGGTTTACATTGCCTTTTAGCTGCATGGGATAGCATTCCTTTGCATTTCCCAAGGTTGCTATAGACCCAGCAGCACCCTGGAAGTTAAACAGTATCAGAGTCTGGAAAGCCAGGCTGCAGGCCCTCTGCAGTTATTGGTTTAGAAAGTATCTCTTTGGGTTTGGAGTCCGCCCTTTTTCCTGGGGTTGAGATCTCCATTTTGGAATCTCCCCTGCCTCCTTCAGTAGAGAAAAGAACCTCGGATGTGCTGTTGGTCAGGCAGGGAGCTCTGAAAAACCCATTGTGAGTACAATTGAGTGATAGAATAGCTATTGAATTATAGATATTGAGTTATTAAGAAAGGCAACTGAGATAAAGAGAAGCTTATTGAGATACTACAGTTATTGCAGTTATTGTAGAAAGCTATTGAGTTATATAGAGAGAGATATTAAGATATCGAGATAGTAATTGAGTTATTGAGAAATAGCTATTGAATACTTACTTCATCTCCAAAACTGACCTTGTGCTTAGATAGGGAAACCTGTTTTTTCTAACCATAGCAGCTCAGGGTTAGGGTGAAATATCTCAGGATTTTTTCTACCATTTGGAGAAAGGTTACCTCAGTAATTGAAGAAAAAGGGAAAGAAAGAACATCTCTATGGTTTCTCAAATTGACTGTTTGTGTTGTAACTTTATCAAGCTGTGCCAAGTCTGCCAAGGACTTTGGAAATAAACATTTTGTTGATGTTCATATCTTGACTGGCATCAGTTGCTGAAAGTATTGAGTTATTGCTTCAAAGAAATACCCCCAGCGGTTCACCCAGATAAAGAGAGAAGCATATCTTAGTTTTAATGTTATAGGGTCTGGGTGTGATGGCACAGTATGTATTTATTATGTTACTTGGAAACCACTTTGAATCCCCTTTGGGGTGATAGAGCGGTATATAAATAAAGTTTTGTTGTTGTTGTTGTTGTTCGAACTTTCCACCTTCCGGTCAGCAGTAATCAATTGCTACTGGTTTTTGTTTTGTCGTGTCAGGAGCGACTTGAGAAACTGCAAGTCACTTCTGGTGTGAGAGAATTGGCCGTCTGCAAGGACGTTGCCCAGGGGACGCCTGGATGATTTGATGTTTTTATCATCCTTGTGGGAGGCTTCTCTCATGTCCCCGCATGAGGAGCTGGAGCTGATATAGGGAGCTCATCCGCCTCTCCCCGGATTTGAACCTGCGACCTGTCGGTCTTCAGTCCTGCCGGCACAGGGGTTTAACCCACTGCGCCACCGGGGGCTCATTGCTACTGGTGATTACCCAGCTGTGCTACTGCCCGGCCCTCTACTCCTTAGATTTGGGTTCACTTACCTCTACTCCCACAGTATAATGGCGAATCCTACCCCAAAGCTCTCCATCACCAATACCAAGATATGCCCCATGACTTGTCCCACAGATATTGCAAGCTTATTTATTTATTTATTTATTTATTTCGGGTACTTCTACCCTGCCTTTCTCAACCCCCTAAGGGGGACTCAGGGCGGCTTCCAACCGGCATGTTTGATGCCTACAATTCAACACAATAAAATACATAGTAACAATAATTATAAACAGTTAAAACATTACATTAATACAATAAAAAGCCAGCCTGGTGGCCATCATTTCACCAAGTCCGTAATTAATAAATTCATTCCGCTTATCATAGTCCGTTTCCAAAGCTTTAGTCGTCATTGTCCTTGTCAGTCTGCCAGATTACCCAAAGGCCTGGTCCCATATCCATGTTTTTAATTTCCTTCTGAAAGAGAGGAGGGATGACAATGATCTAATTTCCCCACCGAGAAGGCCCTGTCCCTTGTCCCTGCCAATCTCATCTGTGACAAGGGCAGGGCCGAGAGCAGGGCCCCTCCATAGAATCATAGAATCAAAGAGTTGGAAGAGACCTCATGGGCCATCCAGTCCAACCCCATGCTGCCAAGAAGCAGGAATATTGCATTCAAATCACCCCTGATAGATGGCCATCCAGCCTCTGTTTAAAAGCTTCCAAAGAAGGAGCCTCCACCACACTCCAGGGCAGAGAGTTCCACTGCTGAACGGCTCTCACAGTCAGGAAGTTCTTCCTCATGTTCAGATGGAATCTCCTCTCTTGTAGTTTGAAGCCATTGTTCCGCGTCCTAGTCTCCAAGGAAGCAGAAAACAAGCTTGCTCCCTCCTCCCTGTGGCTTCCTCTCACATATTTATACATGGCTATCATATCTCCTCTCAGCCTTCTCTTCTTCAGGCTAAACATACCCAGTTCCTTAAGCTGCTCCTCATAGGGCTTGTTCTCCAGACCCTTGATCATTTTAGTCGCCCTCTGGACACATTCCAGCTTGTCAATATCTCTCTTGAATTGTGGTGCCCAGAATTGGACACAATATTCCAGAAGACCTTAAACTCCTAGGCGGGACGTAGAAGGAGATACGTCTGGACAGGTACGCTGGGCCGGTGGCTTGGAAGCTGGTGTCTGAAACAAAGGCTGGTAATTGCTTCTGGTTTTTTTACAAAAACATTTACCTCAACCAAACCTTTCTTCCAGATTATGGCAGGATTCGCTGACCTTGGGTTTCCCCACTGTATTGGGGCGATAGGTGGAATACACATCCCCGTCCGCCCCCCAGTGAGACGTGCTGATGACCAGAAAAACAGTGACTCCATTGTTCTCCAGGGAACGACAGACCATACTGGGAGATTCATCAACATTGAAGTTGGGTGTTCAGGAAGAAACCGTGACGCGCACCTTTTCCGTTCCTCGGCAATCTATCAAGCTATGGAGGAGGGAGCATTTGTGCTAGGGAATCCCCACACGGAATGCAACGGAGTTCAAATACCACCCTTGATTTTGGGAGATGGAGTTTATCCCCTAAGGAAGTGGCTTATGAAACCCTACGGGGGAAATCTTGACCATAGAAAGCAAATGTTTAATTCATCTCTGTGCAGAGCTAGAAGCGTCGTAGAAAGAGCATTTGGACGACTAAAATCTCGATGGGGGTGTTTGTCTTCCCGCTTGACCGTGGCAGAGGAAAAATATGTTCCAATTGTCTCTGCATGTGTGGTGCTGCACAATATATGTGAAACAAAGGGGCATGTTTTGTCACCTCAGGTCCTGGCACGCAGGGATCTCACTCTTCCAGTACAGGAGGAGTCTGAGTTGGGAAAATATGCTGGAGGAGCGAAGGAGGGGGAAAAAGTCCGTTCAGCAGTAGCAGGACTGCTTATGGGAGAATGTTAACTGCCGGTCTGAACAAATGTCAGTACTTTTCCCCGACAATGACATTAACTATTAAAGTCCGTACTTTTCTACTACATTGAGTCTACTGCTGCTTTGACATACAGGAAAACCTTTTCTTTCCCTGTCTGATCCGTTAAATAACTGCCTATGTGTCTGTTGCCTTTCTCTATAATTGAGATCTGTTTAAATGTATTGTATATGTGTGTATTGATATGCCGTTTTCCTTAGCCCTGTTGTGGGAGGGGCTGCAGCCCATGTGATCTGATCTGGGACTGTTCAGGACTCAGACTCCATTTTAGAAGTCATAGAATCATAGAATCAAAGAGTTGGAAGAGACCTCATGGGCCATCCAGTCCAACCCCCTGCCAAGAAGCAGGAATATTGCATTCAAATCACCCCTGACAGATGGCCATCCAGCCGCTATTTAAAAGCTTCCAAAGAAGGAGCCTCCACCACACTCCGGGGCAGAGAGTTCCACTGCTGAATGGCTCTCACAGTCAGGAAGTTCTTCCTCGTGTTCAGATGGAATCTCCTCTCTTGTAGTTTGAAGCCATTGTTCCGCGTCCTAGTCTCCAAGGAAGCAGAAAACAAGCTTGCTCCCTCCTCCCTGTGGCTTCTTCTCACATATTTATACATGGCTATCATATCTCCTCTCAGCCTTCTCTTCTTCAGGCTAAACATGCCCAGCTCCTTAAGCCGCTCCTCATAGGGCTTGTTCTCCAGACCCTTGATCATTTTAGTCGCCCTCCTCTGGACATTCCAGCTTGTCAATATCTCTCTTGAATTGTGGTGCCCAGAATTGGACACAATATTCCAGGTGTGGTCTAACCAAGGCAGAATAGAGGGGTAGCATGACTTCCCTAGATCTAGACACTAGGCTCCTATTGATGCAGGCCAACATCCCATTGGCTTTTTTTGCCGCCACATCACATTGTTGGCTCATGTTTAACTTGTTGTCCACGAGGACTCCAAGATCTTTTTCACACGTACTGCTCTCAAGCAGTCTAACAGTCGAAATGGGACTAGAGCAGTGGTTCTCCACCTTCCTAATGCTGTGACCCCTTAATACAGTTCCTCATGTTGTGGTGACCCCCAACCATAGCATTATTTTAGTTGCTTCTTCATAACTGTAATTTTGCTACTATTATGAATCGTAATGTAAATATCTGATATGTGGGATGTATTTTCATTCACTGGACCAAATTTGGCACAAATACCCCATACGCGCAAATTTGAATACTGTAATGTATTGTATATGGGTGTATTGGTATGCAGTTTTCCTTAGCCCTGTTGTGGGAGGGGCTGCAGACCATGTGATCAGATCTGGGACTGTTAAGCACTTAGACTCCATTTTAGAAGTCAGTAGAAACAAAATGCTTCAGAGCAGTGTTTCTCAACCTTCCTAATGCAGCGACCCCTTAATACAGTTTCTCATGGTGTGGTGACCCCCAACCATAACATTATTTTCGTTGCTACTTCAGAACTGTAATTTTGCTACTATCGTGAATCGTAATGTAAATATCCGATATGCAGGATGTATTTTCATTCACTGGACCAAATTTGGCACAAATACCTGATACACCCACATTTGAATACTGGTTGGGTTGCAGCGGGTGCGGGGGGGGGGGGGGGGGGGGGGGGGGGGGGGGGGGGGGGGGGGTGATTTCGTCATTTGGGAGTTGTAATTGTTGGGATTTATAGTTCACCTACAATCAAAGAGCATTCTGAACTCCACACATGTTTGAATTGAACCAAACCTGGCACACAGAACTCCCACAGCCAACAGAAAATACTGGAAGGCTTTGGTGGGCATTGACCTTGAGTTTTGGAGTTGTAGTTCACCTACATCCAGAGATCACTGTGGACTCAAACAGTCATAGATCTGGACCAAACTTGGCACACATGCTCAATATGCCCAGATGTGAACACTGGTAGAGTGTGAGGAAAAAGGACCTTGACATTTGGGAGTTATAGTGCTGGGATTTATAGTTACCTACAATCAAAGAGCATTCTGAACCTCACCGATAGAAGTGGGCTGAAGTCTCCCAGCAGAAATCACATACTCAGGATTAGTTAGAAGGTTGAAGAAAATTGCAGAAAGTGGCAGTGGCTCTTACAGACAGTACGATACCAAACAAAATATTACAATTCCAGCAGTTCATAGCAGTGGTTGATACCAGTCGAGGTTGTAGAAAACCTCCATAATTAGACAATGATATTTCTGGGATTCATTGGTGTCTCCCATCCAAACACTACCAGGGTGGCTTCAGAGCAGTATTTCTCAATCTTCCTAATGAAGAGCTTCCAAGGACAGAAAGTGTCCTGGTGCCAATTTTGAGACTTCCAGATGTTTTGGACTTCATCTCCCAGAAACCTCATCTTCCTTGGCCAAGGATTGTGGATTGTGGGGATTATAGCCCAAACATCCAGAGGACCTCAGTATGGGAAATGCTGCTTTAAGTTCTTCGGACCCTCTCCTGTTCCTGGATAAATGCCTTGAAAGCAGCCTCTCCCCATGTCTTCCAGAGGGAGAATTTGCTAGTTGGCTTCCAAAGGGTTAAATCAAAACATGTGGATTCCTAGAGAGTAAGTGAGTGGCCAATCAGAATCCTCCTGCAGGCCAGGCCCCTCCTCTTCTGGCCATGTGGAACTCTTCCTGGAGGAGGAGGAGGAGTGGCTGGGAGAGCCTTGGGAGAGAGTGCCTTCCTTCCTTCCTTCCTTCCTTCCTTCCTTCCTTCCTTCCTTCCTCCTTCCTTCCTTCCTTCCTTCCTTCCTTCCTTCCTTCCCAGAGGGGGCCATGGCTCTCCTGCTGCCCAGGTTGGAGCCTGGCTGCCAGGAGAGGCCGCAGGAGGGAAGCCAGCCCGGTGGTGCATCTTCAGGCCCAGCAGAGCCAAGCCAGGACCCTCCGCCTGCCTTTCCTGCTGCTGCTGCTGCTGCTGCTGGGAATGGAGGGCAGTGGTGGGGAGGAGGAGGAGGAGGAAGCCTTCTGGTGGGGAAGGAAGGAGGGGGGGCTGCCAAGGGGAGAGCCCCCACCACCTTCAGGGGCAGAGCGCCAGAGCTTCAGGCAGTTCACCTACCAGGAGGCCTTGGGGCCCCGAGAGGCCTGCAGCCGCCTCCACTCTCTCTGCCGCCTGTGGCTGAAGCCCCAGCGACACTCCAAGGCGGAGATGCTGGACCTGGTCATCCTGGAGCAGTTCCTGGCCATCCTTCCTGCCGAGATGGGGCGCTGGGTCAGGGAATGTGGGGCAGAGACCAGCTCCCAGGCCGTGGCCTTGGCCGAAGGCTTCCTCCTGAGTCGGGCCCAAGAGGAGAAGGCGGAGGAACAACAGGTGAGAGAGAGGGGAGCTCATCCCCACGCTTCCAAAGAGCCAGGAACACTTATCATGAAGGGAGCCAAACTCAAGATCCTCCCTCCCCTCTTTCCCTTGTATTTTGATCATTTGTTTATGTGTCCCTTTGGTGTATTTTCAGCTGGCGGACTTGTGTGCAGAAGTGGCCTCTGCCTTGGAAAGGCCTCCCTCCACCTCCAGCCGGATGCCGGATTGTGCAGGACAAAGGGACCCTCCCAGCTCCACAAGTAAAGACCCAGCGACACTTGGGTGGCTCGACTCCACTCCTTTTGAGTCTCTGTGGCTCAATGAACGTATATATGTATGAAAGGGATCTAGGAGATTTTGGATACACAGGTTCTCATGAACAGGAGTAAACACTACAATCTAGCAGCTAAAAAACCAATACAGTTTTGGGTTGTTGTAGGTTTTCTCAGGCTATATGGCCATGTTCCAGAGGCATCCTCTCCTGATGTTTTGCCTGCATCTATGGCAAGCATCCTCAGAGGTTGTGAGGTCTCAATGCAGTTTTGGCTGCATCATTAGGAGTATAGTGCCTAGGGATGTGAGTTGTGTTGGATGGTGGCTGGCTTTACATGACAACACTGTCAACTCACTGCAAACCAAACTTCAAGTTAGAATCATAGAATCCTAGAGTTGGAAGAGACCTCATGGGCCATCCAGTCCAACTCCATTCTGCCAAGAAGCAGGAAAATTGCATGCAAAGCACCCCTGACAGATGGCCATCCAGCCTCTGTTTAAAAATTTCCAAAGAAGGAGCCTCCACCACACTCCGGGGCAGAGAGTTCCACTGCTGAATGGCTCTCACAGTCAAGAAGTTCTTCCTAATGTTCAGGTGGAATCTCCTTTCTTGTAGTTTGAAGACATTGTTCCGCGTCCTAGTCTACAGGGCTCCCACCTCCCTTAAGTTGTGCTCAAGTAGCTGTTTTTAAAAATTAGGGCTGCTCAATCTTCTGAAAGAATTTCAGCCATGTGATAATGTGCAGTGGCTTTGAGGTAACTGACATGTATTATGGGTGTGTTGCAACTGTTCCTCCTCTCCACTACTGTTGCCTGCTTCATAGAATCATAGAATCAAAGAGTTGGAAGAGACCTCATGGGCCATCCAGTCCAACCCCATTCTGCCAAGAAGCAGGAATATTGCATTTAAACCACCCCTGACAGATGGCCATCCAGCTTCTATTGCCACTAGTCATAGGCAGCCACAGAAGAAATCCGGCTGCAAACCTAAACGTTCCTTATTTCTCCACAATTAAGTTCCTTTAAAAATAATTTTTAATATAAATCTTTATTAGAGTTTTACAAAATGGACATGCAGTGGAGGGGGGGGGGTACTAGATAGGGTAGTGTGGTGGGTAGAGGGGGGGGGGTAGGGGGGATGGGATATGGGGTTGGGAAGGGAAAAATAAATATATATAAATAAATAAAATAAAACAACAGCAGGTCTCTGTGGCTGAGCCCGGCCAAAGGAGACCGAAGTGATTATTGGTCTGGATATCATGAATCCCTACGAGGGGCAGCTTAGGGAGCCAGGGATGGTCAGCCTGGAGAAGAGCAGGCTAAAAGGGGAATATGTTGAAAGGATGTCATATTGGTATACATACCGTTGTATATACATGCCATGCAGGAATACACATTCAAAGCACTCCTAATGGATGGCCATCCAGCCTCTGTGAGAAAGCCACCAGAGAAAGTGACTCAATCATACCCTCGTGTTGCAGTGTATTCAGTCTTACCATTAGGAAGATGGTACCACTAGAAATGGAGACCATGACCAATAAAATGCCCTTGCCTTTTCTCTTCCTGCAGGAGGTGAATCAGAACCAACACATACTGGGTTACCTCTTCCTTCTGATGAACGCAGCACACCTTCTGTGACACCAGATCAGGTAGGTGAGAGAATCCCTAATGGGCCAAGAAGGGCTCAGGCTTCCGGCATCCTCTTTGCATTGCCATTTCCCCCTCTTTCCACCCAAGATGCATGCAGCAAAGTCCCTGTGTAAAGATGGATATCTGTATCGGCCACCAGAAGCAATGGGTTTTCTGTCTGGGGTCAGCGTGTCATCTTACCAATCATATTTCTCTGTCCAGGTGACCTTCCAAGAGGTGGCCGTGTCCTTCAGTGAGGAGGAGTGGGCCCTGCTGAATCCAGAACAAAGGGCCTTGCATCAGGAGGTCATGGAGGAATATTTGGAGACACTGTCCTCTTTAAGTAAGGCTCCCATGTAATGTCTTGAACAAACCTATCACAGGTTTTTCTGGGGCTGGTATTGTGTGGCTCACCTAGGGTCACCCAGTAGGTTTCCATGACTGAGGAGGGAATCGGATATTTTTGGAAATCAAAGGCATAACCTTTTGTAATACCAGCATCTCCATTGCCATTTGGAAGCATGACCCTTTCTGGAGATTCACTGGCATTCACTCTATCTAAAATAATCATAAAGTATGACCTTCCTGAGAAGAGTTAAAAACTCACTTGAGCCACTCTTCTCTTTAGTGGTAAATATCCACTAGTAAATATCCTCTGGAAGTTAGCATTTCATCACACTAAAGAGGACACATCCATAACTATACCTATTAATTTTTTATATGTGTTCTCATTTTCTTTGTTGTCAAGCAACAAACAGAGAAGAGGAGTCATCTCAATACCGGGACTGTAGAGAGAATCAGGAGCTGTGCCTCCCTACTCAGCAAGCAATGTACACTAAGAGGAAGCCCTTCAAGTGCTTGGAGTGCGGAAAATGTTTCAATCACAAGAAAAGCATTGCTTATCACCAAGCAGTGCACACCGGAAAGAAAGGGTTCAAATGCTTGGAGTGTGGAAAGGGCTTCATTCAGAAGATAAAGCTCACCTATCACAAAGCAATTCATACTGGGGAAAAGCCATATAAATGCTTGGAGTGTGGAAAGAGTTTCACTCAGAAGACAGGCCTCACCTGTCATCAAGCTACTCATACTGGGGAGAAGCCATTTAAATGCTTGGAGTGTGGAAAGGGCTTCATTCACAAGATAAGTCTTGCCTATCATCAAGCTACTCATACTGGAGAGAAGCCATTTAAATGCTTGGAGTGTGGAAAGGGCTTCATTCAGAAGATAAACCTCACCTATCATCAAGCTACTCATACTGGGGACAAGCCATTTAAATGCTTAGAGTGTGGGAAGGATTTCACTCAGAAGACAGGCCTCAACTATCATCAAGCTACTCATACTGGGGAGAAGCCATTTAAATGCTTGGAGTGTGGAAAGAGTTTCATTCGGAAGACAAGGCTTACCTATCATCAAGCTACTCATACTGGGGAGAAGCCATTTAAATGCTTGGAGTGTGGGAAGTCTTTTATTCAGAAGGGAAATTTCACTTCTCACCAAAGAATTCACTCAAGGGAGAAACCCTTTAAATGTTTGGAGTGTGGAAAGAGCTTCCGTCAAAAGGGATGCTTTGCCTCTCACCAGACCATACACACAGCGAAGAAACCCTTTAAATGCTTGGAGTGCGAAAGCTCTTTTACAGAGAAAAGATGTCTCATTGCTCATCAAGCAGCGCACTCTGGGGAAAAGCCATTCAAATGCTTGGACTGTGGAAAGGGCTTTGCACGGAAGTCAAACCTCACTCAACATCAAAGAATCCACTCTGGGGAAAAACATTTCAATGTTTGTAGTGTAAAAGAAGTGTCAAACTGAAGACATCCCTACATCATCAAGAGACGTGTGGGGGAAAAAAACCCTTTAAATGCTTGGATTGAGGAAAGGGCTTCGCACAGTCAAACCTCACACATCATTAAAAAATCCACACGGGAAAAACCATTTCAATGTTTGGAGTGTGGAAGAAGTTTCAAACTGAAGAGAACCCTCCATTTTCATCAAGCAGCGCACATGGAGAAATCACACAGGAGAGAAGCCATTTAAATACTTGCAGTGTCCTTATTCGTCATCGGGCAACACAAACAAGAGAGAAGGCATTTAAGTGCCCCGAGTGCAGAAAGAGCTTTTGCCAGAAGAAAGTTTCAGTCAAAATGACATAGCCACATAATGTCACTTAAAAAGCGGTGAATGGGGGGGGGGGGGGGACTCACCAGTTTTGGCATAGGTTCACAGCAGGATGAAATAACATTAAATGTACAATTCAACAATAGCATCTCTCTGTAGGTCCAACGTGATGTGGAGGGGGGCAGAAACTCCCAGGTGTCATTTTTGAAATCAACACAGGGTTCAAATAGGTTGAAAAGAAACTGGTTGTTTCCATCATTTTGTACAGCAGATGTCATTTTTTTCCGTTGTTCTTGTCATTGTATACTTCGAAGTTTTTTCCATTTTATGCCAAGCCTTGAACAAACCTATCACAGGGTTTTCTGGGGCTGATATTGTGTGGCTTGCCTAAGGTCACCCAGGGAGCAGGGAATAGAATATTTTTGGAAATCAAAGGCATAACCTTTTGGAAATTATGACCTGAAGCCGCTGGGTGAGATCATCCGGAGTTTCGGGGTGCGGTGTCATCTGTACGCAGATGATGTCCAACTCTGTCACTCCTTCCCACCTTCTACTAAGGAGGCTGTCGAGGTCCTGAACCGGTGCCTGGCCGCTGTAACGGTCTGGATGAGGGCGAACAAATTGAAATTAAATCCAGACAAGACAGAGGTACTCCTGGTCAGTCGCAAGGCCGAACAGGGTATAGGGTTACAGCCTGTGCTGGATGGGGTCGCACTCCCCTTGAAGGCGCAGGTTCGCAGCTTGGGTGTGATCCTGGATTCATCGTTGAGCCTGGATCCCCAGGTTTCAGCGGTGACCAGGGGAGCATTTGCACAGCTCAGGCTCGTGCGCCAGCTGTGCCCGTACCTCGGGAAGTCTGACTTGGCCACGGTAGTACACGCTCTGGTCACATCCCGCCTTGACTACTGCAACGCTCTCTACGTGGGGCTGCCCTTGAAGACGGCCCGGAAGCTCCAGCTAGTCCAGCGCGCGGCAGCCATGTTACTAACAGGAGTGGGACGCAGGGAGCACACAACGCCCTTGTTGTCCCAGCTCCACTGGCTGCCGATCTGCTACCGGGCCCAATTCAAGGTGCTGGTGCTGGCCTACAAAGCCCTAAACGGTTCCGGCCCAAAATACCTGTCTGACCGCATCTCGGCCTATGAGCCCACGAGGACTTTGAGATCGTCCGGGGAGGCCCTCCTCTCGATCCCGCCAGCCTCACAAGCACGCCTGGCGGGGACGAGGGATAGGGCCTTCTCGGTGGTGGCCCCCCGGCTGTGGAACACCCTCCCTGTAGACATCAGACAGGCGCCCTCCCTTTTAACATTCCGCAAGAGACTAAAGACGTGGTTGTTTGAGAAGGCGTCTGACTAAGTGCTACAACAATTGGCAATGATGACTGGAACGGAATAAGGATAACGAGATTGGATTGTGATTCTATGATGAGACGTCGCGAAGGATTTAGTGTAATTGTATTATTAACAGTGATGTTGTTGTTGTTGTGATATTGCCTTTTTTTGTAAATTGTTTTTATATGTTGTACACCGCCGTGAGTCGCCCTAGGGCTGAGAACGGCGGTCTACAAGTGCAGTAATAAATAAATAAATAAATAAATTATTGAGATCATAACCTTTTGTAAAACCAGAATCTCCATTGCTATTTGGAAGCGTGACCCTTTTTGGAGATTCACTGGCATTCACTATATTTACAATAATCATAAAGTATGATCTTCCTGAGAAGAGTTAAAACCTTGCTTGAGTCAATCTTCTTTTTAGTGGAAAATATCAAATAGTAAATATCCACTGGAAGTTAGCATTTCGTCTTGCTAAAGAGGATACATCCATAATTATACCTACGTACTAATTTTTTATATGTTCTCATTTTCTTTGTTGTCAAGCAACAAACAGAGAAGGGGAGTCATCTCAATACCGGGTCTGTGGAGAGAATCAAGAGCTGTGCCTCTCTAGTCAGCAAGCAACGTCCATTGAGAGGAAACCCTTCAAGTGCTTGGAGTGCGGAAAATGTTTCAGCCACAAGAAAAGCATGGCTTATCATCAAGCAGTGCACACCGGAAAGAAAGTGTTCAAATGCTTGGAGTGTGGAAAGGGCTTCATACACAAGATAAGCCTTACCTATCATCAAGCTACTCATACTGGGGAGAAGCCATTTAAATGCTTGGAGTGTGGAAAGAGTTTCATGTGGAAGACAAGGCTTACCTATCATCAAGCTACTCATACTGGGGAGAAGCCATTTAAATGTTTGGAGTGTGGGAAGACTTTCATTCAGAAGACAAACCTCAGAAATCATCAAGCTACTCATTCTGGGGAGAAGCCATTTAAATGCTTGGAGTGTGGAAAAGGCTTCATTCAGAAGATAAACCTAACCTATCATCAAGCTACTCATACTGGAGAGAAGCCATTTAAATGCTTGGAGTGTGGAAAGGGCTTCATTCAGAAAATAAACCTCACCTATCATCAAGCAATTCATACTGGGGAGAAGCCATTTAAATGCTTGGAATGTGGAAAGGGCTTCATTCAGAAGACAAACCTCACCTATCATCAAGCTACTCATACTGGGGACAAGCCATTTAAATGCTTGGAGTGTGGGAAGGGTTTTGCACAGAAGTCAAACCTCACACAACATAAAAGAATCCACTCTGGAGAAAAATCATTTCAGTGTTTGTAGTGTGGAAGAAGTTTCAAACTGAAGACATCCCTACATCTTCATCAAGCGACACACATGGAGAATTCACACAGGAGATAAGCCATTTAAATGTTTGCAGTGTGAAAAGAGCTTCAGTCAAAAGAGAAACCTTATTAGTCCTCAGGCAACTCACACAGGAGAGAAGCCATTTAAATGCTCAGAGTGAGGAAAGAGCTTTTGCCAGAAGAAACGCCTCCCTTCTTCTCCCTCATCCAAACCATGAGGAATACTGAACTTCTGTAATAGAGAGAGATGACTCTAAAATAGTATTTGTTTGTTGTTATTTTTTCATTAATGACTGGAATAAAAAATATCTATTTTTGTACAAACTGAAATATCAGAACAAGAGTTACTGAAAATAAGATAGAAGACAAAAAGAGTTTTCAGCTGGACAAGAGTCATGGCCAAGAATATGAATTATTTGTTGGGGCACTTTTTCTCTCCACAAAGGAGGCTCAAAGCAACTGTTCTCTTTGCTCTTCTTTGAGGAGCATGGAAAGATGTCCGCTGTGGTTTAGATGGATAGCTAGGCCCTGCTAACTTTCCTATCTAGTGATGTTCTTTGAATAAAATCTTTTTTGTAAGTTCGACTCTGCTCCAGAATTGCTTAAGCTCAGTCGCTCTATTGCTGGCACCAGAAGCTTCTGATTTGCTGAACTGCTGTGACAGCTGTTGTTGCTTATATATGCATATTTTAATATTAATATTTTAATATTATTTATAATTATTTATTCATTTATATACCGCTTTTCACAAAGTTCACAGCAAAAATTCAATGCCTTACAACATATTTTTTAAAACCTAGTATAAAACAACGGTAACATATAACTATAAATTAAACCATATTAAATAGAGAAGCAACAACATGTAGACATTTAAACATGGAATTAATGTAAAATTTTAAGATCACATAATCCAAAAACCAAAGTCTCAGGCCTTTCCAAAAGTCATTTACACATAATCCAGTGCGTTTTTTGCATTGCTACTGCCCAAAGGCTTGGACCCACATCCATGTCTTTATTTTCTTTCTGAAGACCAAAAGGGAAGGTGCTGATCTAATACCGGTAGGAAGGGAGTTCTATAGGTGATGGGTCACCACTGAGAAGGCCCTGTCTCTCGTCTCTTCCAGCTGCACTTGTGAAAGAGGTGGGACTGAGAGCAGGGCCTCCTCAGAAGATTGTAACCTCCGTGATAGTTCATAGGTCCTCCCAAATGTCACCGTGGTTCTTCTGTGGAACTTTATTTATGAAATCCACAACCTATAATATGTCCAGAGAAAGGCTGGCCAAACGGTCAGGTCTAGTAGCCAAACTCGATTTGGTTTACTTGTGGCTCCTTTTGGGGGTCCTAAGTGCATTTGGGGGCTAAAGTCTAGGGCCCCAGCATAGCCCTCCCAGGATGTGTCTACACTGCAGATTGCAGTTTGACAGTGCTTTCAATTGCCACGGCTCAGAACTATGCAAACCTGGGAGTTGTGGTTTGTTGCGGCATCAGACCTCTTTGGCAGAGAAGGGTAAGGACATTGCAAACTTGTCTCCCATGATTCCATAGCATTCCATAGCAGTAAAAGTGGCATCAAAGAAAGGAGATTCCATCTGAACATGAGGAAGAACTTCCTGACTGTGAGAGCCGTTCAGCAGTGGAACTCTCTGCTCCGGAGTGTGGTGGAGGCTCCTTCTTTGGAAGCTTTTAAACAGAGGCTGGATGGCCATCTGTCAGGGGTGATTTGAACGCAATATTCCTGCTTCTTGGCAGAATGGGGTTGGACTGGATGGCCCATGAGGTCTCTTCCAACTCTAGGATTCTATGATTCTATGAATTAGATTTTCTTGTGGTTCCCTTTTGCAGCTCTAAATGCATTTGGGGGCTAAAGTCTAGAGCTTCCCAAATTTCACTGTAGTTCTTTATGGAATCCACAACCTATAATATGTTCAGAGAAAGGCTGCCCAAACGGTCAGGTCTAGTAGCCAAACTCGATTTGGTTTACTTGTGGCTCCTTTTGGGGGTCCTAAGTGCATTTGGGGGCTAAAGTCTAGGGCCCCAGCATAGCCCTCCCAGGATGTGTCTACACTGCAGAATGCAGTTTGACAGCACTTTTCAATTGCCACGGCACAGAACTATGCAAACCTGGGAGTTGTGGTTTGTCGTGGCATCAGACCTCTTTGGCAGGGTAAGGACATTGCAAACTCTTTTCTCCCATGATTCCATAGCATTGAACCATAGCAGTAAAAGTGACATCAAAGAAAGGAGATTCCATCTGAACATGAGGAAGAACTTCCTGACTGTGAGAGCCGTTCAGCAGTGGAACTCTCTGCCCCGGAGTGTAGTGGAGGCTCCTTCTTTGGATGGCCATCTGTCAGGGGTGATTTGAATGCAATATTCCTGCTTCTTGGCAGAATGGGGTTGGACTGGATAGCCCATGAGGTCTCTTCCAACTCTTTGATTCTATGATTCTTTGATTCTATCAGGCTGCATTGATTCCATTGCAGATTCACCCAAGGACTTTGGAATCACCTAGGATGCACCTATCCCGTAGGCATGTATGCTGTCTGATAACACTCAGAGTACCATTATTCAGTGTATAGGAGTCTGGGATGTTTTGGACTTCAACTCCCAGAAGCCTCATCTTCCTTGGCCAAGGATTGCAGATTGTGGGGATTAAAGTACAAACAACCAGATGACCTCAGTTTGGGAAATGATGCTTTGAGTTCTTTGAACGCTCTCCTGTTCCTGGGAAAATACCTTGAAAGGAGCCTCTCCTCATGTATTTTGGAGGGAAGTTTTGCTAGTTAGCTTCCAAAGAGTTAAAGCTAAACATGTGGATTCCTAGAGAGAAAGTGAGTGGCCAATCAGAATCCTCCTGCAGGCCAGGCCCCTCCTCTTCTGGCCATGTGGAACTCTTCCTGGAGGAGGAGGAGGAGTGGCTGGGAGAGCCTTGGGAGAGAGAGAGTGCCTTCCTTCCTTCCTTCCTTCCTTCCTTCCTTCCTTCCTTCCTTCCTTCCTTCCTTCCTTCCTTCCTTCCTTCCTTCCCAGAGGGGGCCATGGCTCTCCTGCTGCCCAGGTTGGAGCCTGGCTGCAAGGAGAGGCCGCAGGAGGGAAGCCAGCCCGGTGGTGCATCTTCAGGCCCAGCAGAGCCAAGCCAGGACCCTCCGCCTGCCTTTCCTGCTGCTGCTGCTGCTGCTGGGAATGGAGGGCAGTGGTGGGGAGGAGGAGGAGGAAGCCTTCTGGTGGGGGGGAAGGAGGAGGAGGGGGGGCTGCTAAGGGGAGAGCCCCCACCACCTTCAGGGGCAGAGTGCCAGAGCTTCAGGCAGTTCACCTACCAGGAAGCCTTGGGGCCCCGAGAGGCCTGCAGCCGCCTCCACTCTCTCTGCCGCCTGTGGCTGAAGCCCCAGCGACACTCCAAGGCGGAGATGCTGGACCTGGTCATCCTGGAGCAGTTCCTGGCCGTCCTTCCGGCCGAGATGGAGCGCTGGGTCAGGGAATGTGGGGCAGAGACCAGCTCCCAGGCCGTGGCCTTGGCTGAAGGCTTCCTCCTGAGTCGGGACCAAGAGGAGAAGGAACAACAGGTGAGAGAGAGAGAAGATCATCCCCACGCTTCCAAAGAGCCAGGAACATTTGTGATGAAGGGAGCCAAACTCCAGATCCCTCCCTCCCCTCTTCCCCTTATTTTCTGATCATTTGTTTATGTGTCCCTTTGGTGTTTTTTTCAGGTGCTGGACTTGAGTGCAGAAGTGGCCTCCGCCTTGGACAGGCCTCCCTCCACCTCCAGCCGGATGCCGGTTTGTGCAGGACAAAGGGACCCTCCCAGCTCCACAAGTAAAGACCCAGCGACACTTGGGTGGCTCGACTCCACTCCTTTGGGGTTTTTGTGCTTCATTGAACATATATGAACATGAGGAAGAACTTCCTGACTGTGAGAGCCGTTCAGCAGTGGAACTCTCTGCCCCGGAGTGTGGTGGAGGCTCCTTCTTTGGAAGCTTTTAAACAGAGGCTGTTTGGCCATCTGCCAGGGGTGATTTGAATGCAATATTCCTGCTTCTTGGCAGAATGGGGTTGGACTGGATGGCCCTGGAGGTCTCTTCCAATTCTTTGATTCTATGATTCTATATCTGTATGAAAGGGATCCAGGAGCTTTTGGATACACGGGTTCTACTGAACAGTAAACAGTACAATCTTGGCTGCATCATTAGGAGTGTCATGCGAGCTGCATTGGATGGTGGCTGGCTTTATGTGACAACACTGTCAACTCACTGCAAACAAATCTTCAAGTTGTGTTTAAGTAGCTGTTTTTGAAATGTAAATAAATAAATAAAATAAACTGTTGATAGGCCGGATTATAATTTGGGGGAAAAAAAACATGAATGAATTCCTATGCACACTGCACATATCTTATTTGTAGTGCAAAAAACACTTTAAAACAATACAATAATTAAAATGTAGAACAATTTTAATAAGTATAAACTTATTAGTATTTCAATGGGAAGTGTGGGCCTGCTTTTGGCTGATGAAATAGGGTTGTTGTGTGCTTTCAAGTCGTTTCAGACTTAAGTTGACCCTGAGCAAGGGCTGGGTAAATGATCTTGGAGGGCCGTATCTGGCCCCCGGACCTTCGTTTGAGAACCCCTGTTCTACTGTATGACTGAAAGCTGCACAGTGAAGAAAGCTGATTTGAAATGTGCTGGAGGAGAGTGTTGTGAATGCCATTGGCAAAAAAGACGAATACATGGATACTTGAGAAAATCAAACTAATTCCTCCTAGAAACCAAGATGTCTGAACTGACATAGTTGTAATGTGGCCGTATTCTTATGAAATACTCATTAGAAAAGACATCGTAGTAAGAGAGAAGGAAGCTGAAAAAGAGAGAGATTGAATTACAGGGGGATGGATGCCGCCAAGGGAGCCCTGGCTGTCCTGAATCTCCAGGACCTGAGCAGACCTGGCTTGGAGGTCCCTCAATAATGGAATCTCCATCAGTCAAAGTTGGCCTAAAGGCACTTAACAACAATAACAACAACACCTCCAGCCTTGATCTGGTCTTGCCTTTCACGATTGAATCATAGAATCATAAAATAATAGAATCCTAGAGTTGGAAGAGCCCACAAGGCACATTCAGTCCCAACTCCCTTCAAAGCACTCCTAATGGATGGCCATCCAACCTGTTTAAAAGCTCCAGACAAAGAGACTACACCACACTCTCAGGTTGAACAGCTCTTCGCATTATTAAGATGGTACCACCAGAAATGGAGATCATGGCCAATAAAATACCCTTGCCTTTTCCTCTTTCTACAGGAGGTGAACCAGAACCAACACATACTGGCTTAGCTCTTCCTTCTGAAGTACACAGCTCATCAAATCAGGTAGGTGAGAGAATCCCTGATGGGCCAAGAAGGGCTCAGGCTCCCGGCATCCTCTTTGCATTGCCATTTTCCCCTCTTTCCACCCAAGATGCATGGAGCAAAGTCCCTGTGTCAAGATTGACATCTGTATCGGCCACCAGAAGCAATGGGTTTTCTGTCTGGGGTCAGCATGTCCTGCTTACCAATCATGTTTCTCTGTCCAGGTGACCTTCCAAGAGGTGGCCGTGTCTTTCAGTGAGGAGGAGTGGGCCCTGCTGAATCCGGACCAAAGGGCCTTGCATCAGGAGGTCATGGAGGAAAATCTGGAGACTGTGTCCTCTTTAAGTAAGGCTCCCTCTTGTATAAGAAAGTATTAGTCACAACATGATATAGCTGCATAATGTCACTAAAAAGGGGTGGGTAGGTTTCCATGACTGAGCAGCGAATCAAATATAGTGTCTAGATCCATAGCCTAATGTATAAATCACTCCAATTGAGAGGTGCCCCCCCTTTTTTCTAATGCCCAGCTTATCTATCTGAATGCATCTATTCCTATGAACCCATTAGGAATTTGAGATCGGAGGAGGAGGGCCTGCTCTCGATCCCGCCTGCTTCGCAAGCACGTTTGGCGGGGACGAGAGACAGGGCCTTCTCTGTGGTGGCCCCTCGGCTGTGGAACTCCCTGCCTAGGGATATTAGATCAGCTCCCTCCCTCCTGACCTTTCAAAAAAGAGTAAAAATTTGGCTCTTCGAGCAGGTATTCGGAACCTTGGGATAAATAGACAAAACTTGAATCGGAAATTTGACCCAGGAACGGCCAAGATGATAGAACGGATGAGGATTTCAACGAGAGGACATAGTTTTTAAATTTTTGTTAGTTATTGTCTTTATGCTTTGTATTGTAATATTTCTTTTTGCTTTATCAATGTATGTATTTATGGCATCGAAATGTGCCAGCTGTGTATGCCGCCCTGAGTCGCCTTCGGGCTGATATGGGCGGGATATAAATAATGTAAATAAATAAATATATATTAGCAATCATCAAACAACAACAACAAAAACACAAAATAATAACTCTTTAGTCTGGAATCTATCAGAGTTGTCACAAAATATGGGGAGAAGTCCTGTTTCTGGGTCAACAAGAACACCCTGCTTGTAATTTGGTTTATTATTAGCAATACCTTTTTTCAAAAATGCAGAAATAGGTGCTTTTTCTTTTCACAATTGGTAACTATAGCATGTGCCCTGTATATTTGTGGTTTCACCCACCCGAGCCTTGGGGAAAGTGGTATTTTATACATGATTTTACGGTGTGTTACCCCTGGAAGGTAGCATTTAATCTTGCTGAAGAGGGTACATCCAGGTCTCATCGTTGGAAGCTACAAGAAAGTAGATTTTGAGATAAGTGTAGAAGAAAACTCTTGAAGTGAGAGAAGCTCAACAATGGGATTGATCATTGGGCGAGTGGGCTTAATATCCCTCAGCATCAGCGTGACCCAGAACCAATAGCACAAAGTGACAAAAAGAACAGACCAATGTTATATCTTCCAGAGGAGGCTTTTCTTTGTAGTAAAATAATATAGTTGCACTGTTTACAATAACAAGGTTTCCACAACACGAATAAACAAATCCATGGTAGCTTTACACGCAGCAGTCTCTATACTGGAGCTCCCTCACAAGGCTTCTCTTCACAGAAGTTTACCTCACACTGAGTGAGGAGTTCCCTCACGGAGGCAAACAAACACTAACAGGCTTCAGCCTACACACTCTCCTCAGGGCAACACTAGCTTTGGCCCACTGACTCTAACAGGCTTCGGCCTACTCACTCTCCTCAGAGCGACCGACACTAGCGTTGGCCCACTAGCTCTAACAGGCTTTGGCCTACTCACTCTCCTCAGGGCGATGTTAGCTTTGGCCCACTAACTCCAACAGGCTTTGGCCTACTCACTCTCCTCAGGGCGATGTAGCTTTGGCCCTCTAGCTCTTAACATCTTCGGCCTACTCACTCTTCTCAGAGTGACAAATGCTAGCTTTGGCCCACAAACTCTAGCAAGTTTCGGCCTACTCACTCTCCTCAGAGTGACACTAGCTTTGGCCCAATAACTCCTAACGGGCTTTGGCCTACTCACTCTCCTCAGGGTGATGTTAGCTTTGGCCCACTGACTCTAACAGGCTTCAGCCTACTCACTCTCCTCAGGGTGACGGTAGCTTTGGCCCATTAACTCTCACAGGCTTTGGCCTACTCACTCCTCTCAGGGTGACGCTAGCTTTGGCCCACTATCAAAGGCTTCGGCCTACTCTCCTCAGGGCGACACTAGCTTTGGCCCACTAACTCTTAACAGGCTTCGGCCTACTCACTCTCCTCAGGGTGACGTTAGATTTGGCCCACTAACACTCACAGGCTTCAGCCTACTCATTCCCCTCAGTGTGACGCTAGATTTGGCCCACTAACTCTCACAGGCTTCGGCCAACTCGCTCCCCTCAGGGCAACACTAGCTTTGGCCCACTAATTCTAGCAGGTTTTAACCTACTCACTCTTCTCAGAGCAAATCTAGCTTTGGCCCACTAACTTAACAGGCTTCGGCCTACTAACTTTCAGTGCTTGATTCACACTTTTGTAATAAAAAAAATCCAGTTAATTTTTAATATTTCTGACACTGATTACCTAAATTGCTGGTGAGTACTTTAATGATACCTATTTATATTTTGTTTTTCTAAATATGTGTTCTCAATGTCTTTGTTGTCAAGCAGTTCACAGAGAAGGGGAGTCACCTCAATACCGGGACTATGGAGAGAATCAGGAGCTGTACCTCTCTGGTCAGCAAGCAATGTCCAGTAAGAGGAAGCCCTTCAAGTGCTTGGAGTGTGGAAAATGTTTCAGTCAGAAGACAAGCATTGCTCATCATCAAGCAACTCACATCGGAGAGAAAGAGTTCAAATGCTTGGAGTGTGGGAAGGGCTTCATTCAGAAGATACACCTGACTTATCATCAAGCAATTCATACTGGGGAGAAGCCATTTAAATGCTTGCAGTGTGGGAAGAGTTTCACTCAGAAGATAGGCCTCACCTATCATCAAGCGACTCATACTGGGGAGAAGCCATTTAAATGCTTGGAGTGTGGGAAGTCTTTTATTCGGAAGGGAAATCTCACATCTCACCAAACAATTCACTCAGGGGAGAAACCCTTTAAATGCTTGGAGTGTGGAAAAAGCTTCCGTCAAAAGGGATGCCTTGCCTCTCATCAAACCGTTCACACAGGAACTAAACCGTTCAAATGCTTGGATTGTGGAAGCTCTTTTACGGACAAGAGAAGTCTAACCGGCCACCAAGCAACGCACTCTGGGGAAAAGCCATTCAAATGCTTGGACTGTGGAAAGGGCTTCAGACGTAAGACCCACCTCACAGGCCACCAAAGAATCCACACAGGAGAAAAACCATTCAAATGCTTGGTGTGTGGAAGAAGTTTCACTCTAAAGAGAACCCTACATCTTCATCAAGTTACACACACAGGGGAAAAGCCATTTAAATGCTTTGAGTGTGGGAAAAGTTTCTTGCGAAGATCTGAACTCACGGCTCATCAAGCCGTTCAAGCTGGAGAGGAACCCTTTAAGTGTTTGGACTGTGGAAGAAGTTTCAGTTGCAGGCGAAGCATGGTTGGCCACCAAATAATCCATACAGGAGAGAAGTCTTTTACATGCTTTGAATGTGGAAAGGGCTTCCTTCGGAAGACAGACCTCACGCGCCACCAAACAACTCACACAAGGGAAAAATACTGACATGTATGGAATGTGGGAAGAGTTTTCCCAGAAAATCCATCTCATTTCTCATCCAAAAGAGCAAGCCTTGAAGTGCTCAGTGTAGAATGAGCTGTAATAAGAAAAGATCTCTTATGTCCCTTAGCCAAACCAGTTTTGTTATAGAGACGGATGACTTAAAATAGTTTTTCGTTGGGGTTTTCCCCCCGGAAGGTAAGGTAAAGGTTTTCCCAACATTAAATCTTGTCATATCTGACTCTTAGGGTTGGTGCTCCTCTCCCGTTTCTAAACCGAAGAGCCAATGTTGTCCGTACACACCTCCAAGGTCATGTGGCCAGCATGACTGCATGGAGCACCCTTACCTTCCCGCCAGAGCAGTACCTATTGATCTACTCACATTTGCATGTTTCCGAACTGTTAGGTTGGCAGAAGCTGGGGCTGACAGCGGAAGCTCATACCGCTCCCCAGATTCGAACCTGTGACCTTTCAGTCAACAAGCTGAACAGCTCAGCAGTTTAACCTACTGTGCCACCCAGGAATAATTAGATTTTTCAAAACCCTTCCTTTCTGAACATGCTGATTTGTGTTTTATATTATTTGGCTGTCATATTGTTTATTCCATTTTTTGTATTTTATGGTAGCGCACTTATTGTATTATTAGGTTGCAAGCTGCCCTGAGTCCCCTAGGGAGAGGGGGCAGGATATAAATAAACATTATTATTAGTATTATTATTATTATTATTATTATTATTATTATTTAGTATATGGCAAACAAGATCATTATGCTAGCTGTTGTATTGGATCACACGTTAGACACTTCCCAAGTGTCTGAAGCAGCTGACATATGGTAATTTTGTCAGCGCCGATTGTGTTTAAGTGCAGGCCAAGGTCTTTAGGCACTGCACCCAGTGTGCCGATCACCACTGGGACCACCTTGACTGGCTTGTGCCAGAGTCTTTGCAATTCAATCTTTAAATCCTCATATCGGGTCAGCTTTTCCAGTTGTTTCTCTTCAATCCTGCTGTCACCTGAAATTGCAACATCAACAATCCATACTTTCTGTATTATTATTATTATTATTATTAATAATAATTATAATAATAATTATAATTATTATTATTATTATTACTGACACAAAACCATAGTATGACACAGCAAACGAGATCTCTATGCTGGATTTCATATCAAAAAATCCCAAGTCGAACACAATTTATTATTATTATTATTATTATTATTATTATTATTATTATTATTTTAAACACAATAAGATGAGTCCACAGCAAACAAGATCCTCTGGCTGTTGTATTGGATCACACGTCGGACACTTCCCAAGTGTCTAGGACTGTGTGATGTATCAGTGAATAATGCGTGCAGATCCCAGTAAGGTGGCCTTCTGCAGCTGGCAGATGGTAATTTTGTCAGCACCGATTGTGTTTAAGTGCAGGCCAGGTCTTTAGGCACTGCACCCAGTGTGCCGATCACCAGTGGGACCACCTTAATAAGAAGAAGGAGGAGGAGGAGGTTGTAGTTTTTTTGGGCTATATGGCCATGTTCTAGAATCCATCTAAAACACAGACATGTGCTTTTCATCTCAAGAACAGAGAAGCATCCCAAGCTCTGAGGATGACCTGGGAAGGAATCCCACTGGAGCATTGCAGCACGTCCAAGTACCTGGGAGTTACCCTGTACCGTTCTCTGACCTACAAGAAGCACTGCTTGAATATCAAGCAAAAAGTGGGTGCTAGAAACAATATCATACAAAAGCTGACTGGCACAACCTGGGGATCACAACTAGACACAGTGAAGGCACCTGCCCTTATTTATTTATTTATTTATTTATTTATTTGGAGTGCTTTTACCCCGCCCTTCTCAACCCCCTAGGGGGACTCAGGGCGGCTTACAAAAGGCACAATTCGATGCCTAACAATTACAACATACAATACAATATACAATATGCAATACACAAATTTACCATATAATATCAACAATTATAACTAATTAAAACAGTCAGACAATATAGTAGCAGCAATAAAATCATCTTGTGGTCAATGTTCGCCAATCCATAGTCCGTAATACATCTAGCATTGTCATTATCCTTTCCTACTCTGGTCGTCATTGGTTGTCTTTGTCCATCTGCCAGCTTACCCGAAGGCCTGGTCCCACATCCAGGTTTTTAGCTTCCTTCTGAAAGCAAGGAGGGATGTTGATGCGCTTTGCTTCTCTGCTGCTGAGTATGCATGCCCAGTGTGGAACACATCTCACCACGCTAAAACAATGGATGTGGCTCTTAATGAGACATGCCGCATTATCACGGGGTGTCTGCGGCCTACACCACTGAAGGAATTACACTGTTTAGCCGGTATTGTACCACCTGACATCCGCCAGGAAGTAGCAACCAATAGTGAAACGACCAAGGCAGGGACATCTCCGGCCCATCCCCTGTTCGGGTATCAGCCAGCACGCCAACAACTTCAATCAAGAAATAGTTTTCTAAGATCTACACAGACACTCGCTGGAACACCTGAGCAAGCAAGAGTCCAAAAGTGGCAGGCTAAACCTAGAACCTCAATCCATGGCTGAGACAGAATGAGAGACTCCCTCCTGGGCACACAGAAGACTGGGTGACTTGGAAGGCACTGGCACCATGAGATGCAGAGCCAATCTTATGAAATGAGGTCACAAAGTGGAATCCATAACATACAAGTGCGGAGAAGAGTGAACCACAGACCACCTTTTGTGAGGCCACCCTGAGTCCCCTTATGGGGAGAAGGGCAGAGTAGAAATGTATGAAATAAAGAAATATTACAATGCAACCTGAGCCCTGCCACATGCACAATGGAGGACCTTCTTATAGCAACACCAGAAGCACTCCAAGCGGCCAGTTACTGGTCAAAGGACATTTAATAGAATGTCAAGTTTGCAAACTTTGTGTGTGTTGTTTCTTTTTTTTTTTTGTTTAAATACAATATTTATTTATTTATTCATTTATTTACTATATTTGTATACCACCTTTCTCAGCCAATTGGCAACTCAAGGCAGTTTCCAACAAATCAGTATACATAAAAAAATAATACCAATGCAAACAATAAACAGTATAAAACACCACAACAGCAATAAAAACATCATTAGCGTCCCCTCATTATCAAGCATTGTCCAGTTCCATTATCAAGTCAATTCGATTTCCTATATTAGCTACTCTGCATTTGTAAATGCTTGCTCAAACAGCCATGTTTTAACTTGCCTCCGAAATGTTAAGAGGGAGGGAGCAGATCCAATCTCCTTAGGCAGGGTGTTCCAAAGCCGAGGGGCCACCACTGAGAAGGTCACGTCTCTCATCCCCGCCAGACGTACCTGTGACAAAGGCAGGACCGAGAGCAGGGCCTCCCCAGACGATCTTAAGGTCCTCGATGGTTCGTAAGGGGAGATACGTTCAACTGTTTGGTTCACTCCTAGAATCATAGAATCAAAGAGTTGGAAGAGACCTCATGGGCCATCCAGTCCAACCCCCTGCCAAGAAGCAGGAATATTGCATTGAAATCACCCTTGACAGATGGCCATCCAGCCTCTGTTTAAAAGCTTCCAAAGAAGGAGCCTCCACCACATTCCGGGGCAGAGAGTTCCACTGCTGAACGGCTCTCACAGTCAGGAAGTTCTTCCTAATGTTCAGATGGAATCTCCTCTCTTGTAGTTTGACACAATAAATAAATTTTCCTTTCCCTTCTTTGCCTTTCTCACATCCTCTTCACTCCCTTTATTTCCCAGTCACATTACAGAAGGCCACTTCACCAAACCAGAGCCAATCCCTTACGTCTCTTCTAATTTTCTATTTTGGGCCTGAAAATGGTAGTTCAAACCCCTCAATGATAATGAAGTCTGTGTGTCCCCTATATGGTCCAGATCCAGCAAGTGTCAGGAGTCAATTTCTGACACCATGAAAACATCACAAATTCCCTCCATGACATCCTGACTGAATCATCCTGGCTGCCTCAAGCCAGGAGAGGGTGCTGGAAACCTTGTATTGGAACTTGTGAAGCAACAAGCTCTAATAAGGAAACTGAGAAGAGGGGGGAGATGGGCAGGAAAGGTGTATAAAAGGAAGTGGTGGTGGGAAAAAGTCAGTAGTGTCTTTCTTTGCTGCAGAGATACAAGCAATATATTCATTTCAAAGCAAAACCAGCTTGTGAGTGATCATTTAATATTGCTATATAAAACCTACAGTCTTACAACAAGCCACATAGGGCCCTTTTTGAATGAAACAAATGAACAAATAAACTTTGAGTTGTATACCAGAGCTGACAGGGGGTGTCAACACCTTTGCATATGTGTATAATGTCATATTACCAGAGCATCCTATGGGTATCGATCCATTCATTCATAGAATCATAGAGTTGGAAGAGACCTCATGGGCCATCCAGTCCAACCTGCTACCAAGAGGCAGGAAAATCACATTCAAAGCACCCCTGAAGATGGCCATCCAGCCTCTGCTTAAAAGCCTCCAAAGAAGGAGCCTCCACCACACTCCGGGGCAGAGAGTTCCTCTGCTGAACAGCTCTCACAGTCAGGAAGATCTTCTTCATGTTCAGGTGGAATCTCATTTCCTGTAGTTTGAAGCTGTTGTTCTGCATCCTAGTCTCCAGGGCAGTAGAAAACAAGCTTGCTCCCTCCAATCCCCGGGTGCTCCTCCCGGCTCGCTGACATCACAGCCAATCACAGCGAAGCTGGCTCAGAGGTCGGGGGCGGGAAATTTGAATGGTAAAAACTGTATATATTGTGTAGTTCTCGGCACAGGTGTTATGCCAGCTTCTTTACAGATTACTGCAGTCGTCATCCTTTCCAGCTGGAATCGAGAATAAATTTCAGTGGCCTTGCTTCATCCTGCTGAGATTTATTGGGAAATGGGGAAAACTTTTATTGGTAGTTATTGTCTCGCCAGGTGTAGTGAACACACCTTTTGGGTCTTCACTGGCCTCTGGTCAGGGAGGGCCCCTAAATCTGTGTGACAATTGCGTGACAGGAAAACCAACTTTCAGCTTTATACATCTTTTGTATATTTATTGTTGAACATGGTACACTTATGCAGTTACATGCTCTTTGTGGAGTTTCATCATATCACAGACATATTTCCCATTGATGTATATGACCTTCAATAGATGGTCTAGGACTGTTCTTCTAGATCAGGGGTCCTCAAACTTTTTAAACAGAGGGCCAGGTCACAGTCCCTCAAACTGTTGGAGGGCCAGATTATAATTTGAAAAAAAGCACGAATGAATTCCTATGCACACTGCACATATCTTATTTGTAGTGCAAAAAACACTTAAAGCAATACAATAATTAAAATGAAGAACAATTTTAACAAATATAAACTTATTAGTATTTCAATGGGAAGTGTGGGCCTGCTTTTGGCTGATGAGATAGGATTGTTGTTGTTGTTGTTGTGTGCTTTCAAGTAGTTTCAGACTTAGGTTGACCCTGTGCAAGGGCTGGGTATCTGGTCCCTGGTCCTTAGTTTGAAGACCCCTGTTCTAGATGGTTTAGGGATGTTTTTGAACTGCTAGTTTGGCAGAAGCTGGGGCTAACATCAGGAGCTCATGCTACACCCTGGGCTCGAACCTGCAACCTTTTGTTCAGCAAGTTCAGCAGCTCAGCGGTTTAACCCACTGCACCACTGGGGGCTCCATGATAGGGAAGAGTTAATGCTCGTTTTGCTGTGCGACCCATTTATTTGTTTTTTTCGTAGACTTTTCCTCCAGCCCCACATTGCAAATGAGTTGATTCTCTTCCTATAATATTAATAATTCAAAAGCTGTTGTTTGAACTGAAGCGTGTAACAGAGGGAGACGTAGTTTTAAAAAGGGATTTTCACAGATGCTGCCAATGATTGAAAGTACCACGTGCAGAGAGGCCTTTGCTTGAAGAAAACACTGATGGTTTGGGAAAGAGAGGAAGTCACTTTTCAAGGATGAAAGTAGATCAGGACAAAACTAGTTTGTAGTCCCTAAATTTCCCAGCCACTTGAAGGTTATTTATTTCATATCAAAAGCACTGAATAAATTAGTATAAAACCGATAAAGATAGAAGGAGCACAAGCAGCTAAATGTCTTTTGACCAAAAATGGGCAACAGCAACAGCATTGTCTGTAGCTTTGCAAATTTCTTATCTGAGAAGACTTTTGAATATGCTAAAAATAATGCAACAGCAAGGGCCAAGTTCATATGGGTACAACTGGCCTTTCTACTTGACAACTGTTGACTTGGATCCCATTGCACGGTGATTCTTGTGACTGTCATAAGCTATGAGAAATAACTGAAGCACTTTCCATACTCCAAGCATTTAAATGTGATGTAGTTCAGCCTGTGATTGTGTCTGATGTCAATGAGGATGAGGGATCTTCTGGGCCTGTGTCTGTTGTCAATGAGGATGAGGATTTTGTTGGGCCTGAGTCAAGCCCAGGCAACAGGCCCAAGGTGTCTGATGAATGGAGTATTTCCCCTGCAGATGCACACGGCCAAATTTCTGGGATCGGGCCACAGCAGTCTTTCTAGACTTTTGTAAACAGAGGCATCATTCTCAGGAGAAGAGAGAGAAGAAATCCTTATCTGGTTGTAAGGGCAAGTGGAATGCTTTCCTTTCATTTCAGGGCCAGGAAAAGCTTTATATTGATACAAAATCATAGAATCAAAGAGCTGGAAGAGACCTCATGGGCTATCCAGTCCAACTCCAACCCCCTGCCAAGAAGCAGGAAAATTGCATTCAAATCACTCTGACAGACGTCAGTCTTGTCAACATTGATACTTCATGACAGTCTTGTTTTTCCAAGTGCATTTCTATTTTCATGTTTCAAGTTTTGCCAAGTTCCCATTCTATTCACTGGACTTTCATTCTGCCTTGTTCTATAGATTCTGTACCCTGGATCTTGTGTTTTTACTTGTTACCTGGAAGTCTATGGATTGACTTTTATCTTGGAGCAATATTGCTTTGAAATATACTGTTTTTACCATTTTTATTTATTTTTTGTCATGTCAGGAGTGACTTGAGAAACTGGTGGCCATCTGCAAGGATGTTGCCCCGGGGACACCTGGATGTTTTGATGTGTTACCATCCTTGTGGGAGGCTTCTTTCATGTCCCTGCATGAGGAGCTGGAGCTGATAGAGGGAGCTCATCCGCACTCTCCCCGGATTCGAACCTGCGACCTGTCGGTCTTCAGTCCTGCCGGCACAGGGGTTTAATCCACTGCACCACTGGGGCCATTTTTATTACCCTGCTTACATATATCTTTCAATAAACTGCTTGTGGGTTTTACTACACCAGTGTGGTATTTAAGGACAGAGGTGTTCCTGCTCTGGTATACAAAAAATGGTACCTTCTGTATATGAATTCTTCAATAATATGTAAGATCTCAGTTCTGACTGAAAGTGTAATGGTGTCAAACCAGTTCTACCATTTGACCTTTGTGTGAATTCTTTGATGACGACCAAGGTGGGTCTTCTGACTGAAGCTTTTCCCACACTCCTGGCATTTAAAGGGCTTCTCTCCAGTGTGAGTTGCTTGGTGACAACTGAGGTTTGTCTTCTGACTGAAGGTCTTCCCGCACTCCAAGCACTTGAATGGCTTCTCTCCGCTATGAGTCCTTTGATGACGAGTGAGGCCTGTCTTCCGACTGAAGCTTTTCTCACATTCAACACATTTAAACAGCTTCTCGCCAGTGTGTGTCGCTTGATGAAAAGTGAACTTGATCTCCTCGCTGAAGCTTTTCCCACACTCGAGGCATTTAAACAATTTCTCATCTGCGTGCGTCGCCAGGTGACAAATGAGGTTTCTCTTCCGACTGAAGCTTTTCTCACACTCAAGGCATTTAAATGGTTTCTCCCTTGTGTGAGTCGTTTGATGTGAAGCAAGGTTTGCCTTCTGACGGAAGCTTTTCCCACACTCGAGGCATTTGAACCGCTTCTCCCCCGTGTGAATCACTTGATGAGAAGTCAGGTTTGTCTTCTGGCTGAAGCTTTTCCCACATTGCAAGCACTTAAAGGGTTTCTCCCCGGTGTGAGTCGCTTGGTGATGAATGAGGTTTGTCTTCTGGCTGAAGCTCTTCCCACACTTGAGGCACGTAAACAGTTTCTCCCCGGTGTGAGTCGCTTGATGGCGACTGAGACTTCTCTTCCAACTGAAGCTTTTCTCACACACCGAGCATTTAAACCGCTTCTCCCCTGTGTGAGTGGCTTGGTGACAAATGAGGTTTCCCTTCCGATTGAAGGTCTTTCCACACTCAAAACACCTGAAGAACTTCTCTCCTGTGTGAGTGGCTTGGTGACGAATGAGGTTCGTCTTCCGACTGAAGGCTTTTCCACACTCAGGGCATTTATAGAGTTTCTCTCCGGTGTGAGTTCTTTGATGACAGAGGAGGCTTATTTCATGATTGAAGCTTTTCCCACACTCTGGACATTTAAATACTTTCTCCCCGGTGTGAGATGCTCGGTGACGATTGAGGCTGCCTTTGTGGCTGAAACCTTTCCCACACTCCAAGCACCGAAAACGCGGCTCCCCTGTATGACTGACTCGATGAGAAGCAAAATTCATCTTGCAACTGAAGGCCTTCCCACATTCCAAGCATTCAAATGGTTTCTCCCCCGAGTGTCTCGCTCGATGACTAGTGAAGATTATTTTCCAACTGAAGCTCTTCCCGCATTCCAAGCATTCAAATGGTTTCTCCCTTCTGTGGACTGCTTGGTGACGACTGAGATTCACCTTCCAACTGAAGCTCTTTCCACACTCCAAACATTTAAATGGCTTGCCTTCTACATGAGCCTCCTGGTGTGGTATCAGTTGTGACCTCCACTTGAATCTCCTTCCACATCTCAGGCACTTGAATGGTTTTTCTCCTGTGTGAGTCCTTCTATATGAAGTCAAACTGGATGTCTTCCCACATTCACTACTTTTGGAAGAGTTCTCCCTTGTGTGAACTCTCCTGTGAAGATTCAGGCTTGTTTTACATCTAAAGCTCCTCCCACATACAAGACAAAGCTGTCTCTCCCTTCCTTTCTGTGCTATTTCTTCAAGGGAGGTTTCACAGACCTCACCACTCTGAGAAAGAATGTTCCCCCTCTTTGGAGGGTCAGATTTTATTTGATTCTCATTCTTCTGTTTACAGCGGACTCTTTGCAGAAATGCTCTGTGGGTTTCTCCTTCCTTCTCACTCAGCTGGTTGCTTCCACCTGGAAAAGAGCAACACAACTGCTCAGAGCCTAAAATTGGGAGAATAGGTTGGAGGAGAAAGACAAAGAATTATTGGAACAATCTATTAAGAAGTCAGAAATAGAGGAAATTATTAAGAATTTAAAAGCTGGGAAAGCTCCAGGTCTGGACGGTCTGGGAACAGACTATTATAAAAGCTTTAGAGAAGTATTGATTCCAAAATTATTTGAACTGTATAATGGAATAATGAAAGGAGAGAAGATGCCAGAATCATGGAGGAAGTCATTAATAATATTAATACCAAAACCTGATAAAGATTTAACCGATCCAGGGTCATATAGGCTCATATCATTAGTTAATCAGGATGCAAAGATTTTATCTGCTACAATAGCCAATAGAATGAATAAATGCATATTTAAAAAGATCAGTGTGGGTTTGTAAAAGGACGGCAAATGTTAAATTTGATAGGGAGAGTATTAAATAAAATTTGTGTGGTTCAAGAGAGGAAGATAAAAGTAGGGATATTATCATTACACATTTTTAAAGCTTTTGATTGTGTGGAATGGTGGACATTGAGGGAGATTATGAACAAATTTGGAATGGGAAGTAGAATAAAAGGATTATTAGAACAATATTATTCAAGAAACTCAGCAGTAGTAACTATAAATGATGGAGTGACAAAAGAAATAAAAGTGACAAGGGGAACAAGACAAGGTTGCCCTCTATCACCAAATTTTGTTTGCCATGGTGATAGAATTATTTGCAAATGCCATTAGGAAAGATAAGAACTTAGAAGGACTAGGAATAAAGGAAAAGCTTATTTGCCGATGGTACATTATTATTTATTGAAAAAGGGGCCACACAATTGGCAAGCCACAATTAGCCTCAAGCTGAGGAAGCTACGTGAGAGAGAGAGGTGGGACTCCATAGTTTCTCTCCATTACCTCAATTGAAGAGGAATTTCCTTTCCTCAGTATTTCTGGGGAAAATTAGAAAGCTGTGTGGTACTAGTGAAGCGAGGGTTCAGCTTTACTGAAAGAAATACATTTATATCTCACACTTAGACCAAAATCTAAAATGAGGTAGCACCCCAATTGCAGACCTCATATATCTTAATAAGGAAGGTGACAGATCACCTTACATTGAACATATGTTAGGCCAGGCTGTAGTACAGCTGGTTAATCACCAGCTGCAAGAGATCATTGCCGACTGACCAAGTGGAAGAGGGGGCTGTAAAATGGGGCAACTCCTTAGAGAAGGCAGGAAAACTTTTGGCTTTGGCTCTGTTATTCATACCAGTCAAATGTAGCCACAGTACAGCTGGAGAAGGGTTCAAAGCAGACCTTCTGGAAAGATATATCTATTAGGATACCAACACATGCGGTGGTCAGTCTCTAGCAGACCATCTGGATATCAACCCCACACTCACTGGGATTTGGGGCACAAGACCCTCGTGAAAGTGAAAAAAACATATATTAGAAAATGCTTTTTTTTTTTTTTTGGTGGAGGGAACACCTCTCTAGGAATCTCTAGGTCCTCCAGCTTGACTCTATGTACAAGTTCAGGTACTCTTACTGCCTATTACATGGAAAACCAGCTGATTCCGAATCCATCTAAAACGTGTGCTTTTCACCTTAAGAACAGACAAGCATCCTGAGCTCTGAGGATGACCTGGGAAGGAATCCCACTGGAGCATTGCAGCATGCCCAGACATCTGGGGGTCACTCTGGTCTATTCTCTGAGCTACAAGAAGCATGGCTTGACTATCAAGCAAAAAGTGGGTGCTAGAAATAATATCATATGAAAGCTGACTGGCACAACCTGGGGATCACAACCAGACACAGTGAAGACATCTGCCCTTGCGCTTTGCTACTCTGCTGCTGGGTACGCATGCCCAGTGTGGAACACATCTCACCAATGTATTGTCGAAGGCTGTCATGGCTGGAATTACTGGGTTGTTGTAGGTTTTTCGGGCTATATGGCCATGTTCTAGAGGCATTCTCTCCTGACGTTTCGCCTAACGGAGAGAATGCCTCTAGAACATGGCCATATAGCCCAAAGAAACCTACAACAACACATCTCACTATGTTAAACCAATGGATGTGGCTCTTAATGAGACATGCTACATTATCACAGGATGTCTATGCCCCACACTGTTAGAGAAATTATACTGTTTAGCTGGTATTTCACCACCCGACATCCGTTGGGACGTAGCAGCCAGTAATGAAAGGACCAAGGCATTGACATCTCCGGCCCATCCTCTGTTCAGATATCAGCTAACACACCAATGCCTTAAACCAAGAAAAGCTTCCTAAGATCTACAGAGATACTCGCAGGAACACCTCAGCAAGCAAGAGTCCAAAAGTGGCAGGCTAAAATACAGAACCTCAACCCATGGGTGATACTGGATGAGACTCCCCCCTGGGCACACAGAAGGCTGGGCGACTTGGAAGGCGCTGAACAGGCTGTGTTCTGGCACCACGAGATGCAGAGCCAACCTCAAGAAATGGGGCCTCAAAGCAGAATCCACAACATGTGAGTGTGGAGAAGAGCAAATCACAGTCTACCTACTACAATGCAGTCTGAGTCCTGCCATGTGCACAATGGAGGACTTTCTTACAGTGACACCAGAGCACTCCAAGTGGCCAGCTACTAGTCAAAGGACATTTAGTATTGTGGATTTTCTATACATTATAACTGCATTCTCAATTCACTTCTGACACAATAAATAAATAAATACTGGAACCTGATTTGCACTGGAGGATCTAGAATTTGCTAGAGAGAACACTTAATAAAGTCTGTGAAAAATCAAATCAGCAAAAGTCAAACCCACAAATGTAGCAAACCAACAATACAGTGATCTCAACCGAGCTATAACTGTGAACAGCTTCCTGAGACAAGAGAGTCAGAAACCAGCACACTTCCAGATGGGGAAACTGAAAAAGAACTGAGAAGGGATTTTCTTTCTTCAGTATTTATAAATGGATTTGATCAACCAAAAGGAAGGTGAAACCTTACCCTGGGTGGACACGAGCTCCCAATTCTCCTCCATCACCTCTCTGTGGAGCACTCTTTGGCCGGGGTCCAGCAGGGCCAACTCCCCTTCGGAAAAATCCACAGCCACATCTTGGAAAGTCACCTAATGAAAGAGCAATCACCCACAAGCTGAACATGCAAACCCCGAGTCAGAAAAGAGAACAGTACAGTTTGATGTGTTGTCAAGGGCTTTCATGGCTGGAAAGGGCTTTCATGCCCTTGCGCTATGCTACTCTGCTGCTGAGTATGCATGCCCGGTGTGGAATACATCTCACCATGCTAAACCAGTGGATGTGGCTCTTAATGAGACATTATCACGGGGTGTCTGCGCCCTACACCACTGGAGAAATTACACTGTCTAGCCGATATCGCACCACCTGACATCCGCTGGGAAGTAGCAGCCAATAGTGAAAGGACCAAGGCAGAGACATCTCCAGCTCATCCCCTGTTTGGGTATCAGCCAGCACCTCAACGACTTAAATCAAGACATAGTTTTCTTAGATCTACAGAGACACTCGCTGGAACACCCCAGCAAGCGAGAGTCCAAAAGTGGCAGGCTCAAACCCAGAACCTCAATCCGTGGCTGATACCAAATGAGAGACTCCCCCCTGAGCACACAGAAGACTGGGCAACTTGGAAGGTGCTGAACAGACTGCGCTCTGGCACCACGAGATGCAGAGCCAACCTTCAGAAATGGGGCCACAAAGTGGAATCCACGACCTGCGAGTGTGGAGAAGAGCAAACCACTGACCACCTGCAGCAATGCAACCTGAGCCCTGCTATATGCACAATGGAGGACCTTCTTGCAGCAACACCAGAGGCACTCCAAGTGGCCAGATACTGGTCAAAGGACATTTAATCAACTACCAAGCTTGCAAATTCTGTGTTTTGTCTGTTTGTTTTTGTTAAAAATGTAATACAAATGTCTGGTTGCTGATGACACGATAAATAAATATTGGAGGGGGGACATTTTCTCTCCTGACGTTTTGCCCACATCTATGGTTTTGCCCACAACTATGGACTACTGCAATGCTTTCCACCTGGGGTTGCCTTTGAAGACGGTCCGGAAGCTTCAACTAGTCCAACGAACGGCAGCCAGGTTGCTAACAGGAGCGGCGCTCAGGGAGCATACACTGGCTCCACTTGTTACCAGTTTGCTACCAGGCCCAATTCAAAGTGCTGGCTTTGGCCTATAAAGCCCTAAACGGTTCTGGCCCAACTTACCTGTCTGAACGTATCTCCCCTTACTAACCTCTGAGGACTTTAAGATCATCTGGGGAGGCCCTGCTCTCGGTCCCGCCTTTGTCACAAGCACATTTGGCGGGGACGAGAGACAGGGCCTTCTCAGTGGCAGCCCCTGGGCTATGGAACGCCCTCCCTAGGGAGATCAGATCTACTCCCTCCCTCTTGATGTTTCGGTGGCAAGTTAAAACATGGCTATTTGAGCAAGCGTTTACAAATACAGAGTAGCTAATATAGGAAATCGAATGACCTGACAATGGAATTGGACAATGCTTGAGAATAATGAGACGCTGATGATGTTGTTTTTATTGCTTTTGTGATGTTCTTATACTGTTTAATGTTTTTTTAAATCTATATTATGTTTTATGTGTACTGATTTGTTGGAAACCGCCTTGAGTCGCCAATTGGCTGAGAAAAGTGGTATACAAATACAGTCAATAAATAAATAAATAAGCATTCTCAGAGGTTGTGAGGTCTGTTGGAAACTAGGCGAATGAGGTTTACATATCTGTGGAATAGTGTCCACACTTGTTTGAGGCAAGTGTGAATATTGCAATTGAGCATCTTGATTAGCATTGAATAGCCTTGCAGTTTCATGCTTGGCTGCTTCCTGTCTGGGGGAACCATTTGTTGGGAGGTGATTAGCTGGCCCTGATTGTTTCTTGTCTGGAGTTCCCCTGTTTTTGAGTGTTGTTCTTTATTTACTGTAATGATTTTAGACTTTTTTTTTAATACTGGTAGCCAGATTTTGTTCATTTTCATGGTTTCTTCCTTTCTGTTGAAATTGTCCACATGCTTCTTGTGGATTTCAATGGCTTCTCTGTGTAGTCTGACATGGTGGTTGTGAGAGTGGTCTAGCATTTTTGTGTTCTCAAATAATATACTGTGTCCAGGTTGGTTCATCAGGTGCTCTGCTATGGCAGACTTCTCTGGTTGAATCAGTCTGCAGTGTGTGTGTGTGTGTATAATCTAGTTATATTGCTAAAAGCAGTAACTAGAAAGAAAAATAACAGAACCTCTGTCTTGAACTTTAAAAAATTTCTTATGTGTTTTAACACATTTCTAATCTTGAACCCAATATGGAGGGTGCAAAAGAGGAGACTCGTGGTAATTACCACCCTTCCTTCCAACCTGCTCTTCCTTTGGCCCACCAGAGATCCCAATCCTTACCTCACCCTGTCTTGCAGAAGGTGTTCTCAAACCATACTGAAAAGATGTGCTTGGACATATAAGCTGGGACCTCATTCCACCTCCTGCGAGAACAGACAGGGGGAAAGAGAGCATTATTTCTCATTCAAGTCTTTTCATTCACGCACGTAAAATACTTTAGTAGGAAGGGGCCTCATGGGCCACCAAATCCAACTCCTTGCTCAATACAGGATCTCCAGCTAGACTCGCTAGAGCAGTGGTTCTCAACCTGTGGGTCCCCAGATGTTTTGGCCTTCAACTCCCAGAAATCCTAACAGCTGGTAAACTGGCTGGGATTTCTGGGAGTTGTAGGCCAAAACACCTGGGGACCTACAGGTTGAGAACCACTGCTCTAGAGCATCCATTGCAGGGAGATATCCAGTATTTTCTTCAAGAATAATAGAATCATTGAGTTGGAAGAGACCTGGTTGGCCATCCAGTCCAACCCCATTCTTCCAAGAAGCAGGAAAATCACATTCAAAGCACTCTCGACAGATGGCCATCCAGCCTGATTAAAAACCTCCAAAGAAGAAGCCTCCACCACACTCCAGGGCAGAGAGTTCCACTGCTGAACAGCTCTCATAGTCAGGAAATTCATCCTCATGTTCAAGTAGAATCTCCTTTCCTGCAGTTGGAAGCCATTGTTCAATTCTGTCTCCAGGGCAGAGAGTTTCACTGCTGAACAGCTCTCTCTCACAGTCAGGAAGTTCTTCCTCATGTTCAGGTGGAATCTCCTTTCCTGCAGTTGGAAGCCATTGTTCCATTGTGTCTCCAGAGCAGAGAGTTCCACTGCTGAACAGCTCTCTCTCACAGTCAGGAAGTTCTTCCTCATGTTCAGGTGGAATCTCCTTTCCTGCAGTTGGAAGCCATTGTTCCATTGTCCAGGGCAGAGAATTCCACTGCTGAACAGCTCTCTCTCACAGTCAGGAAGTTCTTCCTCATGTTCAGGTGGAATCTCCTTTCCTGCAGTTGGAAGCCATTGTTCCATTGTGTCTCCAGGGCAGAGAGTTCCACTGCTGAACAGCTCTCTCTCACAATTAGGAAGTTCTTCCTCATGTTCAGGTGGAATCTCCTTTCCTGCAGTTGGAAGCCATTGTTCCATTGTGTCTCCAGGGCAGAGAGTTCCACTGCTGAACAGCTCTCTCTCACAATTAGGAAGTTCTTCCTCATGTTCAGGTGGAATCTCCTTTCCTGCAGTTGGAAGCCATTGTTCCATTGTGTCCTAGTCTCCAGGGCAGCAGAAAACAAGCTTGTTCCCTCCTCCCTATGACTTCCCCTCACATGTTTATACATGGCCATCCTGTCTCCTCTCAGCCTTCTCTTCTGCAGGTTAAACATGCCCTGCTCTTTAGGCCCCTCCTCATAGGGCTTGTTTTCCAGACCCTTGATCATTTTAGTCGCCCTCCTCTGGACACATTCCAGCTTTAGTTACGGTGCCAAGAACTGGACACAGTGTGATTCCAGGTGGTCTGACAAAGGCAGAATAGAGAGGTAGCATGATTTCCCGGATCTAGACACTGGAGTCCTATTTAAGACATCCAAAGAAGGAGACCCTGCCTTCTAATGTTCAATCAAAGTCCATCCTCCTGTAACTTCAAACCATTAGACCTGATCCTGTCTTCCAGAGCAGTAGAAAGCAGGTCTACAGACTCCTCTTTGGGGTGCAATTATGTCCTCTTCTCAGCCTTTTTTTAACCAACTCAACATGGCCAGCTTTCCTCATAAAGTTTGCTCTTCATACTTTTTCTCATTCTTGTTGCCTTTTTCTGAAATTGTTGCAACCTGCAATTTTAGCCCCCAGTGGTACAATGAGTTAAACTCTAGTTTCGGAAGGACTGCTGACTGAATAGTTGGTGGTTTGACTCCAGGGAGTGGGGTGAGCTCCCGTCTCTCAGCTCCAGCTTCCCATGCGGGGACATGGCTTGAGAGCAGTATGTGTTAAAAAGATCTTGGAGTCCTCGTGGACAACAAGTTAAACATGAGCCAACAATGTGATGTGGCGGCAAAAAAAGCCAATGGAGTTTTGGCCTGCATCAATAGGAGCATAGTGTCTAGATCTAAGGAAGTAATGCTACCCCTCTATTCTGCTTTGGTTAGACCACACCTGGAATATTGTGTCCAATTCTGGGCACCACAATTGAAGGAGATATTGACAAGCTGGAATGTGTCCAGAGGAGGGCGACTGAACAGATCAAGGGTCTGGAGAACAAGCCCTATGAGGAGCGGCTTTAAGGAGCTGGGCATGTTTAGCCTGAAGAAGAGAAGGCTGAGAGGAGATATGATAGCCATGTATACATATGTTAGAGGAGGTCACAGGGAGGAGGGAGCAAACTTGTTTTCTGCTTCCTTGGAGACTAGGACGCGGAACAATGGCTTCAAATTACAAGAAAGGAAATTCCATCTGAACATGAGGAAGACTGTGAGAGCGATTCAGCAGTGGAACTCTCTGCCCTGGAGTGTGGTGGAGGCTCCTTCTTTGGAAGCTTTTAAACAGAGGCTGAATGGCCATCTGTCAGGGGTGCTTTGAATGCAATATTTCTGCTTCTTGGCAGGACTGGATGGCCCAGGAGGTCTCTTCCAACTCTATGACTCTATGATTCTATGACAGGAGAGAAGCCTCCCACAGGATAGCAAAACATCCGGGTGTCCCATGGAGTGAGAGGCGGTCATTTCTCTCACTCCAGAAGCGACTTGCAGTTTCTCAAGTTGCTCCGGACACAGAAAAAAAACTCTATCTATATTCCGTGAGCTGGGACTGCTTTAGGTCCCTGTTAGCATCAAGGCTAAGTGTTAACAGAAATCCAGTGATATGAAATAATTAATAATAATAATAATAATAATAATAATAATTTTATTAACCACCTCTCCTCGTTGCTCGAGGTGAGTTACAGAATAATTAAAACACATACACATACACATTATGTGTTATTGTTTTTGTTTACTGCTTATTTTGTTTTGTTTATGTGATTTATATTAATTGTATTGTATTGATTGGTTTTGTTAATTGTTTCTGTTTATTGATGTACTATGGGCTCGGCCTCATGTAAGCCGCACTGAGTCCCTTGGGGAGATGGTATTATTATTATTATTATTATTATTATTATTATTATTATTACACATTGTAAAAATACCACAAATTCACATATAAAATGTATTTCTATAGAATACAAATTAAAATATACAAAACAGGGACTAAACAAAGGACACAAGTTTAACATTCATTGAATTTGTATTATTGGCCTAGTTGATACTTTTTAAAAATTCACTTGGCAGTTTGAACCTGGGGAAAGGTAGGAAGACTGAGGACAGACTGACTAACCAGTGAGGAAGATATGGATCACACTTGCACCAAGGGCTAGGGAGGGCACATCCACAGCATGAAAAGACTGCAAAGCACACAACTCAACTATTTGCGGGCAGACCCAGGAGATATCCTTACCCACTGAGGTAGAGGCTCTGTCACCATCTTTCACCGCCCACTCATTCTTCACTTCAGCCGCCTCTTTCACAAAAACGTTCTGTACCAAGGTCAGGAAAGAAAATTAGGAAAAGGACAAAGTCTGGTGGACTACTTTGCATATACATTTATTTATTACTGTTGATGACTAGCACCAATCTATTTGCATGACTTCCAGAAAAAGGAAGAAAGCAGTGGGGAATTTTCATATACTAATATACCTCATTGAATGTTTCTATGCAACATGTGAAGAGCCTTGGATATGCTATTGGCACCACAACCCTCCTGAGCTCAGGGCCACTCCATCTGGGACTTGAGGGGAGAGTCATAGGACTAGTGCTGAGCCAAAGCCAGAGGTTTAGCACAGGGCCGGAGATTTAGTACAGCTGGTAAATCATCAGCAATTTTAAGATCTATCAGCCAAAAGGTTGCAAGTTTGAAGCCCCGAGTTGGTGTGAGCTGCCAACTGTCAGCCTAGCTCATTGTTTACCTAAGCAATTCGAAAACAGCTTTAGCTGTGATTAGAGAAATTAGGTACTGCTATAAGTGGGGCAGATGTTTTATGACACCATAAAGAAAAGATCAGAAAATGCTGGGTGACCAAAAAGGAGGAAGTCCTGACAGCTCTTCGTCACAGAGGATAGAGCAGTGGTTCTCAACCTGGGGTCCCCAGATGTTTTTGGCCTTCAACTCCAAGAAATCCTAACAGCTGGACACTGAGTCGAAACAAACCACCTCCTGTTCTATGTATTGTCGAAGGCTTTCATGGCGCCTCCCCCACTTTTAGCGGTACCTAATTTCTCCAATCACAGCTAAAGCTGTTTTTTTGAATTGCTTAGGTAAACAATGAGCTAGGCTGACAGTTGGCAGCTCATGCCAACCCGGGGCTTCAAACTTGCAACCCTCTGGTTGATAGATCTTATAATTGCTGATGATTTACCAACTGTGCTAAACCTCCGACCCTCACTTTTAACTGAGCAAATGCACTCACAGCAACCCTAAAAACTGCTTCTGAAGTACACTGAGACTGCAAGCCATGTCTTCAGGGGGAATTTAAATCCATTCACCAGAGACTACATTCCTTTTTCTTGATTTCTTTTTTGATTGAACAGGAGCTCCTATGTCGTATGGTAATTAAACCGTGATTTGTTCAAGCATTTTCTGTATCCTTGCAAATAAGTATATCTAACCTTCTGAAATGTCTTGGAGGCAATCCACTCACCTGCTGCTCTTTGCGTTTGCTCGATTCTGCCCGACTCAGGAGGAATCCTTCTGCCAAGGCCACAGCCTGGGAGCTGGTCTCTGCCCCACATTCCCTGACCCAGCGCTCCATCTCCGCAGGAAGGACGGCCAGGAACCGCTCCAGGATCACCAGGTCCAGCATCTCCGCCTTGGAGTGTGGCTCGGGCTTCAGCCACAGGCGGCAGAGAGAATGGAGGCGGCTGCACACCTCTCGGGGACCCAAGGCCTCCTGGTAGCTGAACAGCTTGAAACTTTGTTGTGCGCCTGAATCCCACTCCTCATCCTTTTGTTCTTTCTGTTTGGCTCCTCCAAAGAATCCCCCTCTGTGTTGAGCCTGAACAAGACCAGGCTCTTCTCCCAACTCGGGGCTCACTGCATGCATGGGCATCTTGGCCTTTCACCTGTTCCCAAAGAGCCCTTTCAGAGTTGGACAGGTCCCATCACATTGAGATGATGAGGGCCCCCTTTCTTTCCACTGCTCTGCCCTTAATCATTCCCTATCTTCCTCTACAGCCTGGTCTTCGAATCACTCAGTAACACCCGCAGGGATGCACCGAGGAGGCATCAAGGTGGAACAATGAGTGCAGTGTATACAGGGATGTTCCTCCATCCGAGAGGATGATACCTGCCTGTCTCAGGTATGCCCAGCTGCCGCTCTTAGCCTTGGTCCTGCCCCTTCCTGCTATAGTGATGCTCCTTCCTAGAGGCAGCTTCAGGGACCTCTGATGGACTGTACTGAAGAGCCTGGCGCCACCTTTCCACTGGAGGATTCGAGCTGGAGTGGAGAGCAGGCTAATGAATGATATTGGTATTAATAATGGGATCTCGCGATGGCACAGTGGGTTAACAGAAACAAACAAGGACATCCAATCACCTCTCAACAAAAGATTGCTCCAGGCACAGCTAGGCAATCAAATGCTAATCAAGGTAGTTCCAACAGACAAGAGTCCTTTGTCCCAACCTGGTCATTCCACAGATATATAAACCCTTTTTCCTAGTTCCAACAGACATCTCTACCTCTGAGGATGCTTGCCATAAATGCAGGCAAAACGTCAGGAGAAAATGCCTCTAGAATATGGCCATATAGCCCGAAAAAACCTACAACCCAGTGATTCCAGCCATGAAAGCCTTCGACAATACATCCTCCTTCACTGTCTGTTTCCAGGCCCAGTTCAGAGGGCAGTTCCAGCCCTTCTATGCCTGAGGTCCCAGCCATGGGCGAGGCCTTCTCCTCTGTTTGTCCAGGCCCAGACCCTCAGGAGAGGAGGCCCTTCTCTCTCCCTCTCCTATGGCAGGCACTCTTGGAGGGAGAAGGAGAAAGAGAGAGGCCTTCCTTCTCAATGGCTCCCTCTCATCTGGAACTGCCTCAGGGGAGTGTGCTCACTCCATCCATGTTCAACATTTACACAAATGACCAGCCATTGCCAGAAGGGACAGAGAGTTTCATCTATGCTGACGATCGTGCCATCACCGCCCAAGCAGGGAGCTCTGAGATGGTTGAACAGAAGCTCTCCGAAGCTCTAGGTGCTCTTACTGCCTATTACAGGGAAAACCAGCTGATCCCTAACCCATCTAAAACACAGACATGTGCTTTTCACCTTAAGAACAGACAAGCATCCCGAGCTCTGAGGATGACCTGGGAAGGAATCCCACTGGAGCATTGCAGCGCACCCAAATACCTGGGAGTCACTCTGGACCGTGCTCTGACCTACAAGAAGCACTGCCTGAATATCAAGCACAAAGTGGGTGCTAGAAACAATATCATACGAATGCTGACTGGTACAACCTGGGGATCACAACCAGACACAGTGAAGACATCTGCCCTTGCGCTATGCTACTCTGCTGCTGAGTATGCATGCCCAGTGTGGAACACATCTCACCACGCTAAAACAGTAGATGTGGCTCTTAATGAGACATGCGCATTATCACGGGGTGTCTGCGCCCTACACCACTGGAGAAATTACACTGTTTAGCCGGTATTGCACCACCTGACATCCGCCGGGAAGTAGCAGCCAATAGTGAAAGGACCAAGGCAGTGACATCTCCAGCTCATCCCTTGTTTGGGTATCAGCCTGCACGTCAACGACTTAAATCTAGAAATAGTTTTCTAAGATCTACAGAGACACTCGCTGGAACACCTCAGCAAGCGAGAGTCCAAAAGTGGCAGGCTCAAACCCAGAACCTCAATCAATGGCTGATACCAAATGAGAGACTCCCCCCTGGGCACACAGAAGACTGGGCGACTTGGAAGGCGCTGAACAGACTGCGCTCTGGCACCACGAGATGCAGAGCCAACCTCAAGAAATGGGGCCACAAAGTGGAATCCACGACATGTGAGTGTGGAGAAGAGCAAACCACTGACCACCTGCTGCAATGCAACCTGAGCCCTGCCACATGCACATGGAGGACCTTCTTGCGGCAACACCAGAGGCACTCCAAGTGGCCAGATACTGGTCAAAGGACATTTAATCAACTACCAAGCTTGCAAATTCTGTGTTTTGTCTGTTTGTTTGTTTGTTTGTTTTGTTAAAAATGTAGTGCAACTGTTTGGTCTGCCCCTGACATGATAAGTAAAAAAAACCATAAGTCAAGGGAACCACTGACCGTAGGGAAGCTGATGAAGAAACACAACCTACAAACCATCTACAGACCCACTAAAAAAATCCAACAAATGTTCCTTTCAGCAAAGGACAAGAAGGATCCTCTCACCTCCGCAGCAGTCTACCGTATACCATGCAGCTGTGGACAAGTCTATATACGGATCCCCAAACACAGTAGCAAAGCCTAGGCATGAATCAAGGAACACGAAAAGCACTGCAGACTCAACCAGAGAAGTCAGCCATAGCAGAGCACCTGATGAACCAACCTGGACACAACATATTATTTGAGATTACAGAAATGCTGGACCACACTCACAACCACCATGTCAGTCTACACAGAGAGGCCATTGAAATCCAAAAGCATGTGGACAATTTCAACAGAAAGGAGGAAACCATGGAAATGAACAAAACCTGGATACCTGTATTAAAAAAAACTCAAACACTAAAAAAACAGGGGAATTCCAGACACAAAACAACCAGGAGTTCCCTGGGCAGGAAGCAGCCAGGCTTTGAAGCTGCAAGGCCATTCAATGCTAATCGAGATGGCCATCTGCCACATTCACACTTGCCTCAAACAGACAAGAGTTCTTTCTCCACCCTGGACATTCCACAGATATATAAACACCACTTGTCTATTTTTCAACAAACTCCAAAACCTCTGAGGATGCCTGCCATAGATGTGGGTGAAACTGTTAGAGACCCTAAATTGGGTCTTCTTAGGTCCGTGCCGTCACAGGAACATGTAAGGAAGGAGACAGTCCCAAAAGAGATTTTAAAAAAAAGGTTTATTTTAATTTCTTCATGAAGAAGACGGACAGCCCGGTAGCATGCGCAGATGCTACCCTTCAAGTGACTGCCGCGTCCCCTTGGCTTTTTGACCACCAATATATAACCTCAAGTAAACAAGAACATTTTTTTTTGTCATGGAAAGTACTCTCTTTCCAGCCCCCTCCCTTGACCTTTTGATGGAAAGTACCTTCTTGTACCTGCAGACTCTGCGCTTAACCACAACCTTTGAACTTAACCACAATACAACTTCCGACCTCTACATGTCACATCTTGTTTCTTAAAAACATTATCTTCCGTATTGCTATCTTTTGTTTCTCTTTTGCTGTTAATTTCTTTCAAAGCCCCTTGCTTAGCATTTGCAAATTTCACTCAAAGACCCTTTCAAAACGTCAGGAGAGAATGCTTCTGGGACATGGCGAGACAGCCCAGAAAACTCACAGCAACCCATTAATATTGTTGTTAAGAGTAATAAAAGCAAAAACACTCTCCCCACTCTGCTCAAAGAGTAATAACAGCAACAAGAATACTGTGTCCAATTCTGGGCACCACAATTGGAGAGAGATATTGACAAGCTGGAATGTGTCCAGAGGAGGGCGACTGAAATGATCAAGGGTCTGGAGAACAAGCCCTATGAGGAGCAGCTTAAGGAGCTGGGCATGTTTAGCCTGAAGAAGAGAAGGCTGAGAGGAGATATGATAGCCATGTATAAATATGTGAGAGGAAGTCACAGGGAGGAGGGAGCAAGCTTGTTTTCTGCTGCCCTGGAGACTAGGATGGAACAATGGCTTCAAACTACAAGAAAGGAGATTCCATCTGAACATTGGGAAGAACTTCCTGACTGTGAGAGCTGTTCAGCAGTGGAACTCTTTGAGTCACCTGAGGGCTGAGAAAAGCGGTATATAAATAAAGTATGTAAATAAATAAATAAATTTGCCCTGGAGTGTGGTGGAGGCTCCTTCTTTGGAAGCTTTTAAACAGAGGCTGAATGGCCATCTGTCAGGGGTGCTTTGAATGCAATATTCCTGCTTCTTGGCAGGGGGTTGGACTGGATGGCCCATGAGGTCTCTTCCAACTCTATGATTCTATGATTCTATGCTAGTTTGGCAGAAGCTGGGGCTAACAGCAGGAGCTCACCCTGCTCCCCGAATTCGAACCAGCGACCTTTTGGTCATCGAGTTCAGCAGCTCAGTGGTTTAACCCACTGCGCCACCGGTAAAGTCAGTGAAATAATAATAATAAAGCCATGTAGGACCTTTTGTGAATGAAAAAAACTAAACAAACTTTGACTGGTATGTACCAAAACAGACTGAGTGTCAACACCTTTGTATTTGGGTATCACGTGATATCATTACTATAGAATCATAGAATCAAAGAGTTGGAAGAGACTTCATGCGCCATCCAGTCCAACCCCATTCTGTCAAGAAGCAGGGATATTGCATTCAAAGCACCCCTGACAGATGGCCATCCAGCCTCTGCTTAAAAGCCTCCACCACACTCTGTAGCAGAGAGTTCCACTGCTGAACAGCTCTCACTATCAGGAAGTTCTTCCTCATAGAGGTTCTTGTGGGTTTTTTCGGGCTATAGGGCCATGTTCTAAAGGCATTTCTCCTGACGTTTCACCTGCATCTATGGCAAGCATCCTCAGAGGAAGTTCTTCCTCATGTTCAGATGGAATCTCCTTACTTGTAGTTTGAAGCCATTGTTCCATTGCGTCCTAGTCTCCAAGGAAGCAGAAAACAAGCTTGCTCCCTTCTCCCTGTGGCTTCCTCTCACATATTTATACATGGCTATCATATCTCCTCTCAGCCTTCTCTTCTTCAGGCTAAACATGCCCAGCTCCTTAAGCCGCTCCTCATAGGGCTTGTTCTCCAGACCCTTGATCATTTTAGTCGCCCTCCTCTGGACACATTCCAGCTTGTCAATATCTCTCTTCAATTGTGGTGCCCAGAACTGGACAATATTCCAGGTGTGGTCTAACCAAGGGGTAGCATGACTTCCCTAGATCTAGACACTATGCTCCTATTGATGCAGGCCAAAATCCCATTTTTTTTTGCCGCCACATCACATTGTTGGCTCATGCTTAACTTGTTGTCCACGAGGACTCCAAGATCTTTTTCACACGTACTGCTCTCGAGCCAGGCATTGCCCCCCCTTCTCTTTTTCAGGCTAAACATGCCCAGCTCCTTAAGCCGCTCCTCATAGGGCTTGTTCTCCAGACCCTTGATCATTTTAGTCGCCCTCTCTCTGGACACATTCCAGCTTGTCAATATCTCTCTTGAATTGTGGTGCCCAGAATTGGACACCAGAGCATCCTATGGGCATCACTCCATTCATTCCCCTGTCACAAACTTCCAGTTGGTGACTTCCAGGCCTCTCTTCCCCTGAAGGCTGGGAAAGAAGGAAGCCTGCCTCTCCTCCCTCCCCTGAAGGGTTAAAACTGAAGGAGAGGAATTCCTAGAGGGGAAGGAGGAAGTCCAGAGTCCCACCACTTCCGGCCAGGGGTGGTGTCGGCGGGGCTTCCGCTGCAGGGCTACTCAAAGGGAGAGAAAGAAGTGGCCCTCCTTTTCTGGGAGGAGAGGAAGGAATGTCTCCTGGACACAGGTGTTGTCGTCTGCGGGGCTTTGAAGCTGAGGCCTTGCCTTGGAGGCTCCTCTCAGGACTTGACAGGTAGTGCTAATGGGGAGGGATGCTGCTGGGGAGGGGCTGGGCCAGGAGGCAGAGGAGCAGGGCCTCCACCAGGTAGGCTCTATTCTGCTTTGGTTAGACCACACCTGGAATATTGTGTCCAATTCTGGGCACCACAATTCAAGAGAGATATTGACAAGCTGGAATGTGTCCAGAGGAGGGCGACTAAAATGATCAAGGGTCTGGAGAACAAGCCCTATGAGGAGCGGCTTAAGGAGCTGGGCATGTTTAGCCTGAAGAAGAGAAGGCTGAGAGGGAATATGATAGCCATGTATAAATATGTGAGAGGAAGCCACAGGGAGGAGGGAGCAAGCTTGTTTTCTGCTTCCCTGGAGACTCATCACATTGTTGGCTCATGTTTAACTTGTTGTCCATGAGGACTCCAAGATCTTTTTCACACGTACTGCTCTCGAGCCAGGCACTGTCCCCCATTCTGTATCTCTGCATTTCATTTTTTCTGCCTAAGTAAGGTCTCTTGCATTTGTCCCTGTTGAACTTCATTTTGTTAGTTTTGGCCCATCTAATCTGTGAAGATCGTTTTGAATCCTACTCCTGTCCTCTGGAGTATTGGCTATTCCTCCCAATTTGGTGTCGTCTGCAAATGTGATGATCATGCCTTCTAACTCTTCGTCTAAGTCATTAATAAAGATGCTGAACAGGACCGGGCCCAGGACGGAACCCAGCTGATGGCACTCCGCTCATCACTTCTTTCCAGGATGAAGAGGAAACCTTGGGGAGAATCGCCCTCTAGGTTCGTCTGCTTATCATCTTGTTTTTTGGTTTTTTTTCAGGCCCTTTTCAATAGACTATTCATCCACTTTGGAGGCACCTGAGAAGCACTGAACAAAGATGGAAAGAGAAGAGCCAGCTGGCTCCCAGTTAGAAACATTTTCTCCTGTAGAGGAAGAGAGTGGTGGGGCGTTCTGGGAGGACCCTTGGAAGCAAAACCTGGAAAACAGTCTTCTCCATTCAGAACTTCATTGCCTACTCTTCCGACGCTTCCGCTATGAGAAGGCCTTGGGGCCCCGAGAGGCCTGCAGCCGCCTCCACTCTCTCTGCCACCTGTGGCTGAAGCCCCAGCGACACTCCAAGGCGGAGATGCTGGACCTGGTGAGATCCTGGAGCAGTTCCTGGCTGTCCTTCCTGCGGAGATGGAGCGCTGGGTGAGGGAATGTGGGGCAGAGACCAGCTCCCAGGCCGTGGCCTTGGCTGAAGGCTTCCTCCTGAGTCGGGCAGAAGAGGAGAGAAAGCAGGAGAAACCCCAGGTGAGGCAAATTCATCTTTGTAATTCCAAGGAGCCAAAAATGATTGTTTCGAAGCATAATAGCCACATGTTACAGACATTGTTCAACTCATCCAGGAAAATAGGTGATTGCTGTTATATTCTTCTGACAATTCCAGTGATCTGTATTTCAGAAGAAGGAATTGGCCAAATGACCTCTGAGTATTCTTTGCCTAAGAAACTGTATGTAATTCAAGGATGAGATAAGTCAGCAGGGATCTGAAAGCACAATATACAGACTTGATTTTCTCTGGCCACTTCCACACAGCTGAATAAAATCCCACATTAGTGAGGACTAAGATAACCTAGTTCAAAACAGATATTGTGGGATTATCTGTCTTGATATTCTGGGTTATATGGCTGTGTGGAAGGGCCCTCTGCCTGAGAGCCCCTCTAGGGGCCCTTCCTCACAGTCCTATATCCCAGAACATCCAGGCAGAACATCCCACAATATCTGCTTTGAACTGGGTTATCTGAATCCACACTCAGATAAATTGGGATTTTCTGCCTTGGTATTCTGGGATATAAGGCTGTGTGGAAGGGCCCTCTGACCAGCCCAAGTATACTTTCTAGATCCAGGGAAGTCATGTTACTCCTCTGTTCTGAAAACATGGTTGTTCCAGTGTGCCTTCCCAGAATAATGAACTCTCAGCATTATGTCCTCTAAATGCACTTTGCACTGATTTAGGATTGCTTGTACGCTCTCACCAACGCCCCATCTCTCCTATCTTGTTCATGCCTAGCATTATTTTTTAATCTTTAATTACATTTGGACCAGCCATAGATTTTAAATATGTGTTGTATTACTGTCATTGTTTATTGCTTTTTTGTTTATGAGTTTTATTTTAATTGTTTTATTGTTGTTGTTATTGCTTGTATTGATGTATTGTGGGCTCGGCCTCATGTAAGCCGCACCGAGTCCCTTGGGGAGATGGTAGCAGGGTACAAATACAGTTTTATTATTATTATTATTATTATTATTATTATTTTCTGCTTTAGTTAGACCACACCTGGAATACTGTCCAATTCTGGGCACCACAATTCAAGAGAGATATTGAGAAACTGGAATGTGTCCAGAGGAGGGCGACTAAAATGATCAAGGGTCTGGAGAACAAGCCCTTTGAGGAGCGGCTTAAAGAGCTGGGCATGTTTAGCCTGCAGAAGAGAAGGTTGAGAGGAGACATGATAGCCATGGATAAATATGTGAAGGGAAGTCATAGGGAGGAGGAGCAAGCTTCTTTTCTTCTGACTAGGACGCAATCGAACAATGGCTTCAAACTATAAGAAAGAAGATTCCATCTGAACATTAGGAAGAACTTCCTGACTGTGAGAGCTGTTCAACAATGGAACTCTCTGCCCTGGAGTGTGATAGAGTCTTCTTCTTTGGAGGCTTTTAAACAGAGGCTGGATGGCCATCTGTCGGGGGTGCTTTGAATGCAATGTTCCTGTGTGTTGGCAGGGGGTTGGACTGGATGGCCCACAAGGTCTCTTCCAACTCTATGATTCTATGAAAGCCCTTCCCCTTCAGAATGAACTAGAACCAGAGTGTAATGAACAAACACAGGCAGGATTTTACCACCAACACAAAGGGAAATCAGAGTTGTTTATAAAATGGACAAAACCTTAATTGGCCGTCCAACTACAGTCAAATAAGTTGAGTAGGATACTGAAAGAGAGCCCCCCCTCTCACACACACACTTTTTAAATCTTTGTTTTTTTAATGATCCTTTCTTCTTGTTCACTTGCAGGACTCTGTTGCAGATGAGACCAATGAGGTGGAAAAGTCTCTTTCGGGCACCCTTTGCACAGTCCAGGTTGGAGACAGGGAACGCATCACAGTTGGTAAGGGATGGGCAAGGATGATCATCCCCTCTTGAGTAGTCCTGAAATGTTTGAGGTTTGTGAGTTGCAGAGAGACAGTGCCAGATCTAGGACAAATAATCCTTGTCTATGGGTTGAAAGAAAAGTAATGCCTCCACCTTCTTTACTTGGGTTTGGATGGGAATATATTAATAAATCAAATGCAGAAGTAATCCTTAGAATGTGCTCTTTAAGTACCACTATGCACTTTTCCACATAATCACCAGACAATTGGATACATGTCTGCCAACGATGAACAAGTTTTCTGAAGCCATCACAGAAGAAGTCAACACTCTGTTTCCGCAACCAGCCTTTCACAGTTCTCTCAATGTCTTCATCAGAAACATAATGATGTCAACACATAACACAATCACCATAAACAGCTTGCATTCTCTGATGAATCTCCTTTGGGGTGACTCCTTCTGCTGTCAAGAATTCAATGACTGCATGTTGCTTAAGTCGCATTGACCAACCATCTGCTCAGTACTTTACACTTTAACAACACAACTGTTCAATGCTAAGTCTTTCTGCCAAAATGGAACTGTAGAGGAGAGTCTACTGAACAATCCAGTACCTGCCGCATACCAGTACTGCCATCTGTTGAGGAGTTACGAAGTGGAGGCATTACTTTTCATTCAACCCTCGTAGTTAATATGAGTGTTTGCTATTGTCTTGTTTCCTGAAGGATGTAGGCCTACACTGCCTGCTTGTGGCACACTCCCATAGACTATCAGCCCTATCATTATGTCTGGAATTGCTCCGAAACAGAATGCCTTCAAATTTAGAATTGCATCTCATCAACAAAATCCATCGTAAAAAATTATTTTTGGCAGGAATATGCCACAATGCCCACCCCAGACAACTGGGCCCTGTGCTTAAGCACACCTAAGCACAATGGCAACTCCAACACTGGTGAAAGCTTATATGACCTAACTGTTTGAACCCTGATGTGTGTAAGGAGAAAAGATTGGGAATAAAACAGATAAGAGGAATGCCTGTTTTCATCCCTTGGTGTCCATAGAATAGAATCATAGAATCATAGAATCAAAGAGTTGGAAGAGACCTCATGGGCCATCCAGTCCAACCCCCTGCCAAGAAGCAGGAATATGGCTTTCAAATCACTTCACACACCTTCTACTTCCCACTAGGAATGGGATCAGTCAGCATTCATTGTCCATTGAGCTTTGCTAGCTCTCCACAGGAACTCCACTTTGTGTGTTTTGGAATTGTAGAAGGAAAACTAATTGTGGTCATTTCCACCTTGTACCATTTAAATACTGGGTTATTTATTTAAGAAGATGACCTATTGAGACAAGGACATCATTTCTCAGCCTTCTCTCCAACTTTCTCATGGAAGGGAATACTTTTTAATACTGTTTTACTATTTGTATATTTGTATGTTTTAAGTTGTACTGCAATGCTTTTAGTTGTGAGCCACTTCAAGAAAAAGCAGAATATAAATAAACATAATAATAGTAGTAATAATAATATAATGATGACAGATGACAATTTTGTCAGCACCGATTGCGTTTATTTATATACCGTTCTATCTCCCCGAAGGGACTCAAGCAGTTTCCAAGTATCAAAACCAGCACATACAGTGTGCCGAACACCACAGGGACCACCTCTACTGGCTTGTGCCAGAGTCTTTGCAGTTTGATCTTTAAATCTTCGAAAAGCTGACATAATATGAGGATTTAAAGATCAAACTGCAAAGACTCTGGCACAAGCCAGTAAAGGTGATCCCAGTGGTGATCGGCACATTGGGTGCAGTGCCTAAAGACCTTGGCCTGCACTTAAACACAATCGGCACTGACAAAATTATCATTTGTCAGCTGCAAAAGGCCACCCTACTTGGATCTGCATGCATTATTTGCCGACACATCACACAGTCCTAGACATTTGGAAAGTGTTCAACGTGTGATCCAATACAGCATCCAGCATAGTATTCTTGTTTGATGTGTACTAATCTTGTTGTGTTCCTAATAACAACAACAACAACAGGAACTGTGGGGGCAGCCTGGAAAAAGGCTCACCCTCCCTGATGTCTCTCCTCTCTTTCACAGGCAATGGAACATGGTCAAGAGGTAGTATCCCATCTTTTCATGCTTCCTTGCTAGGAAGAGAGTCTGCAAGACCAGATCAGGTAGGCAGCAGGATCCCTGGAGGGGAGGGAAATGGAGTTACCTTGTCCCTTGAATATTGCCCTGGCTCTGACTGAACCTCTCTGTCTTCCTTTTCCTTCCATCCAATATGCTCTTTTAAACGTCTGTCAGAAATGGTCTGGTTTTCCTTTCTGACTGGGGTTGCATTTCCTCCTCACAGATAACATTTTTTGTCTTCAGGTACGTGCATGTATGAGTCTGTGCATGTGTATGTGTATATATATGGATGGTTTTGTAAGGAAATTATAACATTGTCACAGTCACCATTACAATTTTTTTCTGTGTACAATATAGTCTCGCTTATCCAACCTTGGGTCATCCAACGTTTTGTATTGTCCAACGCAGCCTGCCACTTGCCCAGATCCACAGCTGTTTCGATAAATTGCGATGTTTTGGTGCTAAATTTGTAAATACAGTAATTACTACATAATATTACCCTGTGTTGAACTGCTTTTTTCTGTTGATTTGTTGTAAAACATTATGTTTTGGTGCTTCATTTGTAAAAGCATAACATAATTTGATGTTTAATAGGATTTCCCTTAATCCCTCCTTATTATCCAGCATTTTTGCTTATCAAATGTTCTGCTAGCCCGTTTATTTTGGATAAGCGAGAGACTACTGTATTCTCATGGCATGCTGATGATTCCTGTTTTCTTATCTTTTACATTTCTATACTTATCTGCTACTTAGACATATCCAATTTTCCCCTTCACTCTTTCTCCCTCCCCCCTCTCTCTGGGAACACTTGTACCTCTTCTCTTTGTATTATTGTATTTGTTTGATCACAAGGAATGTCTGATTCAATTCCTTATATTTTCCTTTTACTCTGGCTATAAGCCCTTTCTATTCCAACTCCCAGTTGTCCTTAGAATGTCTGTTCGTGTATTTAATTGTTTTTTCAATGATGGAATCTTGAAGCACATAATCTGATAAATATTCATACCATGTTTTAAGTTCCCATTTCCTTTACTCTTTTCATCCTAAGGCTACCATTGCTTGGGTTACTGCTATCATACATTTTACTATTTTGCCCCATTCTTTATTTCCACCTTTACCTTCTATTTTTTTGAGCAAATAATTGTTTTTTCTTCAACTCTATTTTTCCCTTTAATATTTCCTTCATCTTGTTCTTAGCTTTTAAATAGATTTTTGTAGCCTTTTGCAGTCCCATCACATGTGGATAAAGCTTCCAATTCTACCATATTTATGGCAGCACAATTTTGATGTGGTGTTTTTTGTTTTGTTTTTGTCTCCAGGTGACTTTTGAAGATGTGTCTGTGGGTTTCACAAAGGAGGAATGGGCCCTCTTGGATCCTGGCCAAAGAGCCTTGCACCAGAAAGTCATGGAGGAGAATTTAGGAATCATTTCCTCTCTGGGTAAAGCTCCCTTATACTTGTAGTTAACCCCAAAACTATCCATTGTTTCAGGTCTTTTCCTCAGAAACCATAGAAATCAATCTCGTTCCATTTCACATGTGCAAGCCAGCCCAATAAGAGAATTGGGACTTGTGTGGGGTTGCTATATATATATATATATATATATATATATATATATATATATATATAAAAATGTATGTTCGTTTGTGGGATTAACATAACTCAAAAACCACTGAACTAATTGCTACCAAATTTGGCCCAAGACACCTACTAACTCAAGGAGTGACCATCATTCAAAAATTGATTTTGTCATTTGGGAGTTGTAGTTGCTGGGATTTACAATTCACCTACAATCAAAGAGCATTCTGAACTCCACCAATGATGGAATTGAACCAAACTTCCCACACAGAACCCCCATGACCAACAGAAGTTACTGGGAGGGTTTGGTGGGCATTGACCTTGAGTTTTGGAGTTGTAGTTCACCTACATCCAGAGGGCACTTGGCATGAGTGCTCTATGTGCCCAAATATGAACACAAATGGAGTTTGGGGAAAATAGACCTTGACATTTGGGAGTTGTAGTTGCTGGGATTTACAGTTCACCTACAATCAAAGAGCATTCTGAACTCCACCAATGATGGAATTGAACCAAACTCCCCACACAGAACCCCCATGACCAACAGAATTTACTGGGAGGGTTTGGTGGGCATTGAGTTTTGGAGTTGTAGTTCACCTACATCCAGAGGGCACTTGGCATGAGTGCTCTATGTGCCCAAATATGAACACAAATGGAGTTTGGGGAAAATAGACCTTGACATTTGGGAGTTGTAGTTGCTGGGATTTACAGTTCACCTACAATCAAAGAGCATTCTGAACTCCACCAATGATGGAATTGAACCAAACTTCCCACACAGAACCCCCATGACCAACAGAATTTACTGGGAGGGTTTGGTGGGCATTGAGTTTTGGAGTTGTAGTTCACCTACATCCAGAGGGCACTTGGCATGAGTGCTCTATGTGCCCAAATATGAACACAAATGGAGTTTGGGGAAAATAGACCTTGACATTTGGGAGTTGTAGTTGCTGGGATTTATAGTTCACCTACAATCAAAGAGCATTCTGAACTCCACCAAACAATAGAATTGGGCCAAACTTCCCACACAGAATCCCCATGACCAACAGAAAACTGTTTTCTGATGGCCTTTGGTGACCCTTCTGACACCCCCTCATGACCCCCCCGCCCCCCCCCCAGGTTGAGAAATGCTGCCTTAAGGCCATCCATCCAACTCCCTTCACCAGGGCAAGAAAACATAATCAAAGCCTCCTGACAAAGAGCCATCCAGCCATAGATATAGATAGATAGATAGATATGATTCACACACACACACACACACAGAGATATAGTATCATAGATCTGAAAGGGACCCTTAAAGAAGGGCATTTATATGTTGCATGTTCTGGAGTAGGCAAACCAATCTCTACATCAACAAAGACAAAGAAACAACAAGAAATACTGTTTACCTATAAGCATCAAGAAAATACATAGTTTAGAAATATACACTTTCTCAGTACTTTATTTTCCAGATCACCAGACTGGCAGGGGGTGGCTAGTATTATATGTATTTTAGGCAAATTGGTCTTTGGCATCCAAACAACCAAGCTTGTTTTGGTGGTGGGACTGAGAGAATGGCTTCTACTGACGATTTAAGCCTCCAGGTAGGTTTGTGCAAAGAGAAATAATCAGTCAGATAGCCTGGATTTGAGCCTTATAGGGCTTTATAGGTCATAACCAGCAATGTGAATTGTGCCCAGAAATGAATTGGCACCCAGTGGAGCTGTGGCATCAAAGGACTTGTGTACTCTCTGTAGCCAGCCCTGGTTAAAATTCTGCCTGCAGTTTTTTGAACCAGCTGTGGTTTTCAAAAACTCTTCAAGGTCTACCACAAGTACAGCACATTAGTCATGCAAACAGGATGTAACTTGAGGTATGTAACACCATGGGCAGATCCAGCATCTGAAGAAACTTTTGCAGTTGGTGCACAAATTTGGATCTCCAGATTCACGGCTGATTGCAAGAGTAGCCAACCCCCCTTGCCTCCAAATGCAAAACCTCTGTCTTTAGTGGTAATGTAACCCTACCTAGCACAGGTTGAATCCCTATTCTGTTGGCTCCCTTCCAACTGACCAAGAGCATCTATTTTTGGTCTGGAATAAGTTTTCAGGGTTTTGTTTTTTGGTTTGCCATTCTCCAGCCCAATACTGATGAGCAACATTCGTTTAGGTCAGTGGTTCTCAACCTGTGGGTCCCCAAGCGTTTTGGTCTACAACTCCCAGAAATCCTAGCCAGTTTATCAGCTGTTATGATTTCTGGGAGTTGAAGGCCAAAACACCAGGGAACCCACAAGTTGAGAACCACTGGTTTAGGAGGAAAGGGGGAATTAGAGCTGGGTGTCATCTTCATATACATGGTGAAAGGTAAAGGTTGTCCCCTGACATTAAGTCCAGTCATGTCTGACTCTGGGGTGTGGTGCTCATCTCCATTTCTAAGCCGAAGAGCCAGCGTTGTCCATAGACACCTCCAAGGTCATGTGGCCAGCATGACCACATGGAGTGCCGTTACCTTCCCGCCGGAGCAGTACCTATTGATCTACTCACATTTGCATGTTTTCGAACTGCTAGGTTGGCAGAAGCTAGGGCTGACAGCGGAAGCTCACGCCGCTCCCTGGAATCGAACCTGCGACCTTTTGGTCAACAAGCTCAGCAGCTCAGGGCTTTAACGCATTGCGCCACTGGGGGCCCTATACATGGTATTATTATTAATAATAATAACTTTATTTGTACCCCGCTAGCATCTCCCATAGGACTCGATGCGGCTCACATAGGCCGAAGCCTCAAAACACAATACAGTAAAACATAATACAACAACAATACCAAAGCAAATCAAACAGTGAGCAAAAATAAACAACAACAGTAACAAAATCAGGACACTTTAAAAACTGGGCTGGCCAGAGCAGTGGGTACAGGATTAAAAGTGCTGAAGTGGCAGGAGGAATATAGGATTATAAAATGCGGTGTGCAGTGATCTTGATTCTACTAAAGTGCTTCTAGGACTTGGTGATGGGGATTCCTAATCTGGGAAGGCACATCGGAACAGCCAGGTTTTTAAATTCTTTCTGAAAACTGCCAACGTAGGGGCCTGTCTCAGATCTTTTGGGAGGGCGTTCCAAAGTCGGGGGGCCACCACAGAAAAGGCCCTGTCTCGCGTCCCCACCAAACGCGCTTGCGACGCGGGTGGGATCACGAGCAGGGCCTCTCCAGATGACCGAAGTGAGCGTGTGGGTTCATAGACGGAGATGCGGTCACGCAGGTAGGGTGGTCCCAAACCGTTCAGGGCTTTGTAGGTAAGCACCTGCACCTTAAATTGGGCTCGGAAAATAAATGGCAGCCAGTGGAGCTCCTTAAACAGAGGGGTAGACCTCTCTCTATAATGAGCCCCGGTTAGCATCCTGGCTGCTGCCCGCTGGACCAGTTGGAGTTTCCGAGCCGTTTTCAAGGGCAGCCCCACGTAGAGCGCATTGCAGTAATCCAATCTGGAGGTACCCCACCCCAAAACTCTGGATTACCCCACCTAGGGGTTTCATATATAAGTTAACAGCATAGAAAACAAAACAGAGCCCTGAGGGATCCCTCAGATGAGGGCAAAGGGGTTGAACAGGGGCTCAGGACCCCTGGGGGGGATCACAAGGGAGTATCAGAGGGGTCGCTAAAGACCATCAGAAAACACAGTATTTTCTGTTGTTCATGGGTGTTCTGTGTGGGAAGTTTGGCCCAATTCTTTCGTTGGTGGGGTTCAGAATGCTCTTTGATTGTAGGTGAACTATAAATCCAGGCAATGACAACGCCCAAATGACAAAGTCAATCCCCCCCAACCCCACCAGTATTCAAATTTGGTGCAGTGAATGAAAATACATCCTGTGTATCAGATATTTGAGGGAGCCCCCAATGGCACAGTGGGTTAAACTGCTGAACTGCTAAACTTGTTGACCAAAAGGTCACAGGTTCGAATCTGGGGAACAGCCTGAGCTTCCGCTGCCAGCCCCAGCTTCTGACAACCTAGCAGTTCAAAAAACATGCAAATGTGAGTAGATCAATAGGTACCGCTTCTGCAGAAAGGGAGTCATGCCGGCCACATGACCTTGGAGGTGTCTACGGACAACACCAGCTCTTAATGTCAGGGGGAAACCTTTACTTTTTTACTTTACCTATCAGATATTTACATGATGATTCATAGCAGTAGCAAAATTACAGTTATGAAGTAGAAACAAAAAAAAATATGGTTGGGGTCACCACAACATGAGGGACTGTATTAAGGGATCACGGCATGATAAAAACATCAAATCATCCAGGCGTCCCCTGGGTAACGTCCTTGCAGATGGCCAATTCTCTCACACCAGAAGTGACTTGCAGTTTCTCAAGTCGCTCCTGACACGATTAAATTTTTTTTTAGAAGGTTGAGAAACACTGATCTATTCACTTGAACTGTTAATTTTTATTATTTGATTTGCTTGCCTATTTTAGCTTTATTTATTTATTTTGATACTGCACATGGCATTGAACATTTGCCATTTTGTTTTTGGAAGCCACCCTGAGTCCCCTTAGGGAGAAGAGGGGGGGTTAGAAATATTATTATTTTTTGAAACACAACAAGATGAATCCACAGCAGACACTCTGCTGGCTGTTGTATTGGATCCCACGTCGGACACTTCCCAAGTGTCTAGGACTGTGTGATGTATCGGTGAATAATGCATGCAGATCCCAGTAAAGTGGCCTTCTGCAGCTGGCAGATGGTAATCTTGTCAACGCCGATTGTGTTTAAGTGCAGGCCAAGGTCCTTAGGCACTGCACCCAGTGTGCCGATCACTTTTCCAGTTGTTTCTTTTCAATTCTGCTGTCACCCGGGATCGCAACATCAACCATCCATACTTGGTTTTTTAACACGATCGTGAGGTCAGGAGTATTGTACTCCAAAACTCTGTCTGTCTGTATCCGGAAGTCCACCTTGTCTTGTTCCCTCTGTAGGTCATCCACCAAGGGGACCAAACCAGGCCTCAAACCAAATTAAAATAGATCTAGCAACCATGGTTAGTAGAGCAAGCCACTTTAATTCAGCTTCTCTCTTTTCCTACTGCCTTTTCCAGTGAGGTGTCATATCTCACATGTGTCCCAGGCAGTTCCCTTTGGCTTCTAGGGAAAGTTACGTCCTGGTTTGCTCTCAGGTCCATGCCTTTGTCTGTTTTCTATTTGAATGCACACACATAGGTGGAGTTGTTCAGATGTCTGAATTCATATGGTCTATTATTTTCATGACAAAAAGGGTTTTTGTTCAGGTTTTTAAAAAATTAATAAAATGCATCTCTATATGCTACATGCAAAGAACAGGTAATAAAATAAATGCAGGCCTATGCTTGTGAAGCTACTGATAGAAAATAGATTTCCCTTTATGTCTGTACTAAATCTGAAGTCGAGAAAATCAACACTAGGAGAGTACAGGGGATTCTGGGCTAAACACTTGGGCTATATTTCCACCATCCCTGGTTTAGATATGATTTATTTTGAAACTTTCATCTTTATATAGTTTTTGAAGCAAAGACAAAACAGATCTTTTCTGTATTTAATAGAAAGGATTGTCTTGACTAAATGCATCTTGTAATTTGTATAATTTGTAATACTTCAATCAAGGAGAATTTCAATCTAATATAATCTTTTCTTTTATTTCCCTTCTTCTCAAACCATGTAAATAGAAACGACACCATTTAAATGTTTGGAAAATAGAAAGACTTTCAGTTGGAAGGAAAAGCTCCCCTGCCGTCAAGCAATTCACCCAGGAGAGACACCTTTTGAATACTTGTCTGGAGGGAGCTTCCTTCAGAAGAAAAACCTTAGTAATGAAAATCTTATTCCTCATCAGGAAGCTCATGCACGAGAAAGACCATTTCAGTGCTTGGAGTGTGGAAAGAGTTTTACTCAGAAGATAGGTCTCACCTATCATCAAGCTATTCATACAGGGGAAAAGCCATTTAAATGCTTGGAGTGTGGAAAGAGTTTCACTCAGAAGACAGTTCTTGTCTGTCACCAGGCAACTCACACAGGAGAAAGACCTTTCCAGTGCTTAGAGTGTGGAAAGAGCTTCAGTCAGAAGACAAACCTTGTTCGTCATCAGGCAGCTCACACAGGAGAGAAACCATTTCAGTGCTCGGAGTGTGCAAAGAGCTTCACTCGAAAAGAATACCTCGTTCTTCATCAGGCAGTTCATACAGGGGAGAAGCCATTTCTATGCTTGGAGTGTGGAAAGAGCTTTAGTGAGAAGAGAAACCTTTACACGCATCAAAGATGTCACACTGGGGAGAAACCATTTCAGTGCTCAGAGTGTGGAAAGAGCTTCAGGCAGAAGGCAGTCCTTGTTTGTCATCAGGCAACTCACACAGGAGAGAAACCATTTGAATGCTCAGACTGTGGAAAAAGCTTCAGTCAGAAGACGAACCTTGTTCGTCATCAGGCAGCTCACACAGGAGAGAAACCATTCAAATGCTCAGAGTGTGGAAAAAGCTTCAGTCGTAAGACAATCCTGACTTTTCATCAGTCAACTCACACAGGGGAGCAACCATTTAAATGCTTGGAGTGTGGGAAGAGCTTTAGACAAAAGAGGAACCTCACTAATCATCAAAACTGTCATACTGGGGAGAAGCCATTTAAATGCTTGGAATGTGGCAAGGCTTTTAGTTGGAAGAAAAGTTTAATTCATCATCAAGTAACTCACGCAGGGGAGAAGCCATTTAAATGCTTGGAGTGTGGAAAGAGTTTTAACTGGGAGAAAAGCCTAGATTTTCATCAGGCAACTCACATGGGTAGAAAAACATTTAAATGCCTGGAATGTGGGAAATGTTTCTCTCTTAAGAGCAGCCTCACTCGTCATCAGGTAACTCACACAGGAGAGCAACCATTTAAATGTTTGGAGTGTGGAAAGTGCTTCATTTGGAAGAATAGCTTAATTTATCATCAAGTAACTCATTCAGGGGAGAAGCCATTTAAATGCTTGGAGTGTGGGAAGAAATTCAGTTTGGAGAAAAGCCTCATTTCCCATCAGGCAATCCACACAGGTGTAAAAGCATTTAAATGCCTGGAGTGTGGGAAATGTTTCTATCTTAAGAGCAGCCTCACTCGCCATCAGGTTATTCACACATGAGAGAAACTGTTAAATTGTTTACAGTGTGGAAAAAGCTCAGTTTTGCAAAATAGCTCAATTTATCTATTTATTTACACCATTTCTGCCCCGCCCTTCTCACCCCCGAGGGGGGACTCAGGGCGGCTGACACAGGCAGCAATTTGATGCCACAATATCAATAATAACAATGTAAAATCAAAATACATAGCAGATTAAAAACAGTAACATTAATTATAATCACATAAACACATAGTCACATAGCTGCTTCCAATTGTCGTAACAGTCGCCCTGCAAGTCACACACTGGAATTATTAGTGTGGGAATGAATAATGTCAAGAGATCCATTTCACTTCTCACCATGCAGTTGATGCAGGGGAATAATTATTTAATTCTTCAGAATTCAAGTCAAGCTAGGGGATATTCTCACATTTTCTGTTATGAAATATCAAATGAAACATAACTTACAATATGTTGACAGCTATCCATTCATGCATTCTGGTGATTGGAAATATTTCTGGTGGTATGGTAGAGGCTCCTTCTTTGGAAGCTTTTAAACAGACTGGATGGCCATCTGTCGGGAGTGCTTTGAATGTGATTTTCCGGCTTCTTGGCAGAATGGGGCTGGACTGAATGGCCCATGAGGTCTCTTCCAACTTTATGAGTCTATGATTCTATCATGTATATTCAGGGTAAGAAATACATGCTTTTTTCAAAACATGTTTAGAACTCAGAGGTGTTTTTATGCTATATTAAAGGAATATTTTTGCACTGGTTTTGTGTGCTTCGGTTTCAGAGAAAGATTTGATTTTGTGTGTGTGTGTCTGTGTGTCAGGAGCGACTTGAAAAAATGCAAGTTACTTCTGGTGTGAGAGAATTGGCTGTCTGCAAGGACGTTGCCCAGGGGATGCCCAGATGTTTTGATGTTTTACCATCCTTGTGGGAGGCTTCTCTCATGTCCTCGCATGGGGAGCTGGAGTCGACATAGGGAGCTCATCTGCGCTCTCCCCAGATTCGAACCTGCGACCTGTCGGTCTTCATTCCCGCTGGCACACAAGGGTTTAACCCACTGCGCCACCGGAAAAAGATGTAAATCACTAACAGTTACAGGAGCTAACTCGGGCACGGGCAAACTTTTGTTGGACTTCAACTCCCAAAAATTGTAACAACCTCAGCCCCTTTCCTTTCCCCCTCAGTTGCTTAATTTTAATTACCGTGGCTCATGGAGTCCTAGCAATTGTTGTTTGGTAATTCACCAGCACTCTTCAGATAATATTAAAGAACTTGTAAAACTACAACTCCCTTGATTTCTTTGCATTGAGCCATGGCAATTAAAGCGGTGTCAAATTGCATCAATTCTTCAGTATAGCTCAGGCGTGGGCAAAGTTCGGCCCTCAATGTGTTTTGGACTTCAACTCCCACAATTCATAACAGCCTCAGGCCCCTTCCTTTTCCCCCTCAGCCGCTTAAGCTCCATATTTCAGGAAATAAAGCCCGACTGCTCATTGGAGGGAAGGATATGAGAGGCCAAGATGAAGTACTTTGGCCACATCATGAGAAGAAAGGAAAGCTTTAGAGAAGACAATGATGCTGGGGAAAATGGAAGGAAAAAGGAAGAGGGGCCGACCAAAGGCAAGATGGATGGGATCCTTGAAGTGACTGGATTGACCTTGAAGGAGCTGGGGGTGGTGACGGCCGACAGGGAGCTCTGGCATGGGCTGGTCCATGAGGACACGACGAGTCGGAAACAACTGAACGAATGAACAACAACAACAAACAAGCAATAACTAAACTAGACACATTGACTAGAAGATTGCCAATGGGTTCATTGTTACTCACCTCCAAGTAACTAACATCTACAACAGTATACATTGTAGCTTAGAGAAGACAATATTTATTTATCGTGTCAGGAGCAAACCAAACAGTTGTATTGCATTTTTTAACAAACATACAAACAAAACACAAAGTTTTCTAGCTTGGTAGTTGATTAAATGTCCTTTGACCAGTATCTGGCCACTTGGAGTGCCTCTGGTGTTGCTGCAAGAAGGTCCTCCATTGTGCATGTGGCAGGGCTCAGGTTGCATTGCAGCAGGTGGTCAGTGGTTTGCTCCTCTCTGCACTCACATGTCGAGGATTCCACTTTGTAGCCCCATTTCTGAAGGTTGGCTCTGCATCTCGTGGTGCCAGAGCGCAGTCTGTTCAGCGCCTTCCAAGTTGCCCAGTGTTCTGTGTGCCCAGGGGGAGTCTCTCATTTGGTATCAGCCATTGATTGAGGTTCTGGGTTTGAGCCTGCCACTTTTGGACTCTCGCTTGCTGGGGTGATCCAGCGAGTGTCTCTGTAGATCTTAGAAAACTATTTCTTGATTTAAGTTGTTAACGTGCTGGCTGATACCTAAACAGGATGAGCTGGAGATGTCACTGCCTTGGTCCTTTCACTATTGGCTGCTACTTCCCGGCAGATATCAGGTGGTGCAGAACAGTGCAATTTCTCCAGTTGTGTAGGGCGCAGACACCCTGTGATGATGTGGCATGTCTCATTAAGAGCCACATCCACTGTTTTAGTGTGGTGAGATGTGTTCCACACTGGGCATGCATACTCAGCAGCAGAGTAGCATAGCGCAAGGGCAGATGTCTTCACTGTGTCTGGTTGTGATCCCCAGGTTGTGCCAGTCAGCTTTCGTATGATATTGTTTCTAGCACCCACTTTTTGCTTGATGTTCAGGCAGTGCCTCTTGTAGGTCAGAGCACGGTCCAGAGTGACTCCCAGGTATTTGGGTGCGCTGCAATGCTCCAGTGGGATTCCTTCCCAGGTATCCTCAGAGCTCGGGAAGACAATGATGCTTGGGAAAATGGAGGGAAAAAGAAGAGGGGTCAACCAAGGGCAAGATGGATGGATGGTATCCTTGAATAATAATAATAATAATAATAATAATAATAATAATAATAATAATTTATTTGTACCCCGCTACCAACTCCCCATGGGACTCGGTGCAGCTTACATGAGGCCAAGCCCAAAATACATCAAACGACATCAATAACACAACATTAATGAATCAATAAAATACAAATCATATAAATTACATAACAAAACAACTATCAATAGTGACATATAAACAAATGTAATAGATTAAAATTGAAAATATGCTGACGTGAACAGGTAAAAGTATAACTGGATAGGATTTTTTTTAGAGAGAAACGAGGGAGCAATCCATCCTAAGTCAGTATTAAAGTGCATTATGTGGGCATATTGCTGAGAGTTCTCCTTATTCTGGGAAGGCACACTGGAACAACGATGTTTTCAAGCTCCTCCTAAAGACTGCCAATGTTGGAGCATGTCTAATGTCCCTGGGAAGTGAGTTCCAGAGTCGAGGGGCCACTACCGAGAAGGTCGTCTCCCTCGTCCCCACTAATTGAGCCTGCGAGGGAGGTGGGAGCGTGAGTAGGGCCTCTCCAAAACACCTGGAGGGCCCAAGTTTGCTCATTCTCAAGAGATGCTTTCTCAGAAACAGCTGGAGAGAGTCCATAGAGAAGATGCACCTGCTCTCTTCTTTCCTAAGGGGAAGAGATGTTTCTCACCTGTCTCTGAAGGGTTAAACCGAGCGAGAAGGATTCCTAGAGGGAGACACAAGCAGTGTCCCTATAGCATCCGCCACCTGCTCTAGAAGATTTGGATTGCAAACACAGAGGGGTTCTGGCAAGATAGAAAGCAATAGATAGCAAAGGACCAAGTGATGGAGAAGGCTCTGCCTGATGGTTTTGGTCCTTTGTAGGAGAGGATGCTCCCTTGAATCCTTTCTGTCCACATCAAGAAGTCGGTCCTCAATGAAGCACTCATGGCAAAAAGTAAAGTGTTATCCAGCCTTGACATTATTCACATGAGCTCACGCATCTTGTTTTGTTTGCAGGCCCCACCAGTTCTCCCAGACCTTCCACTCTGAATGTTTAGAAGTGCAGAACTAATTTATTGTGTCAGAAGCGAATTGTGGGTACAGTTGTCATGTATTTAAAAACACAACAAAATTAAAAACTTGGCATTATACTAAATATCCTTTGACCAGTAGTTCGCCACTTGGAGTGCCTCTGGTATTGCTATAAGAAGATTCCCCCATTATGCATGTGGCAGGGCTCAGACTGCATTGTAATACGTGGTCTGTGATTTGCTCTTCTCCACACTCATATGTCATGGACTCCACTTTGTGGCCCCATTTCTTAAGGCTGCTCTGCATCTCATGGTGCCAGAGCGCAGTCTGTTCTGCACCTTCCAAGTCACCCAGTCTTTTGTGTATCATTTGGTATCAGCCATGGAACAAGGTTCTGGGATTTAGCCTTCCACTTTTGGACTCTTGCTTGCTGAGGTGTTCCTGTGAGAATCTTTGTAGGTATTAGAAAGCTATTTCTTGATTTAAGACATTGGTGTGCTGGCTGATATCCAGCCAGAACAAAGGTGGAAGGGCAAGAGCTAGCTGCCACCCAATTAGAAGTATTTTCTTCTGCTGTTAAGGCAGAGAACAATAGAACACTATGGGTGGACCCTTGGAGGAAAGACTGGGAGAGCAATATGCTTCATTCAGACCTTCAGTGCCAGCGCTTTTGGCATTTCCACTATGAGGAGGCCTTGGGGCCCCGAGAGGTCTGCAGCTGCCTCCACTCTCTCTGCCGCCTGTGGCTGAAGCCCCAGCGACACTCCAAGGCGGAGATGCTGGACCTGGTGATCCTGGAGCAGTTCCTGGCCGTCCTTCCTGCGGAGATGGAGCGCTGGGTGAGGGAATGTGGGGCAGAGACCAGCTCCCAGGCCGTGGCCTTGGCTGAAGGATTCCTCCTGAGTCGGGCAGAAGAGGAGAGAAAGCAGGAGAAACCCCAGGTGAGGCAAATTCGTCTTAGTAATTCCAAGGAGCCAAAAATGATTGTTTTGAAGGGTGATATATACAATTCTTTTTCCATTTGTTATGGACATTTTCCAACTATGGGGGGCTTAGCCAGTAGAATAGATGCTTGCAATTTTAGCCTTAATAATTTTAGCCCTAATAATAGAAAGAAGTTGGAAAGGAAGACCCAGGTGTGTTGACCATGGAAAAGAGACTTGGGGTGCCACAATTGCCCCCTTTGCACTCCCCAAAGTCTTTCACAGAGAGAAGGGGGCGGTTGTCCCCATTCCCTAGGGTGGTATAACCAGATGTATGTATGTATGTATGTATCTCTCTCTCCCTCTCTCTCTCTCTCTCTCTCTCATGTCAGGAGTGACTTGAGAAACTGCAAATCACTTCTGGTGTGAGAGAATTGACTGTCAACTGAGTCAGGATGAACTTGAGAAACTGCAAGTTGCCACTAATCTCCACCAACTCAAGAATTCCATGGACACATCCCTATTGCAAATTCAAATACACCTAACACCTGACAGCGACTGCCTTAAAAAGCTCTCCCATTAAAAGAAGCAAGCTCTATCCACCAACACTAAATATCAGGCAAGTTCAAATTCCTCGATGAACAGGCCTTGCCAAGAAAATCCCAAGATAGGTTTACCTTAAGGTAAAGGTAAAGGTTTCCAATGACATTAAGTCTTCTTGTGTCTGGACGGTGGTGTTCATCTCCATTTCTAAGATGAAAAGCCGGCATTGTCCGTGCAAAATCTGTGTGTTTTTTTTTCTTTTTCTTTTTAATCTGTGTGTTTATTTTGTTCTGTTAGAATTGTAACACAATGGTATGGTTGCTGATGACACGATAAATAAATCCCACATGGGGAAGCTGGAGCTGACGGAGGGAGCTTATCACATTCT